TCATGGTACTATGGGAATCAGAACGCTGTAATTTGACAGTATTGTGGTTGTGTAAGAAACCGAGTCACACACTATAGTTTTCCTTTTTTTTACTTTTGTTTTACTTGCCATTAGCCATTGGGTTGCTGTAGGTTTGCAAGCAGGTGGGCCGCCTCACAAATTTACGCATGCAACAATGTAACACCTATTTTTTGAGCCTTCAGTAGCCTGACGCCTTTGTGCACATTGCGACTCTTCGTGTTTGCAAGTGCTGCAGATTGCTCGATGTTGTTTCATCTCACAGAAAACTTCCCCTTCCCTGGGCGACAACCTTGGGGGAGGTGCATCCGTATTGCCACTTTGCCAGTGCTTTTTTGCTGAGCAGGCTGGGCAGCTGGAGGCATGAAAGTCAACTTCATAGCCAACATCAGCGGTCAGGAAAAGAAAGGAAACCATCTCAAGCGACCATGATTCGAAATTACTTTTGTCACCGGATGGTCCAAAATGAACAGTTGGATGCGTTGACTACACCCATTCTGTAGCCCAGTGGGACTATGCATATGCGAATAGAAGAAAAATATACATATAATATACACATGTACATATAGCTGTAAATATCTACATACTCGTCGTATTTATTTTTATTTGTGCATATATATATACACATATGCATATGTATATACATTGCACATGCATATGTTTTGTCGATTTAAAAAATAGTGTAGCACATTCTTTACGCATGTACCTACAAACATATATGCGTATATGTTTAAATTATTGGTTTATAGATAGATAGAATAGATAGATAGATCGATCGATCGATCGATCGATAGATAGATCGATCGATAGATAGATAGATAGATCGATAGATCGATAGATCGATTAGATCGATTAGATCGATTAAATCGATATATAGATAGATAGATAGATAGATAGATAGATACATAGATACATAGATACATAGATAGATTAGATAGATAGATAGATAGGTAGATAGATAGATAGATAGATAGACAGACAGATAGATAGATAGATAGATACATAGATAGATAGATAGATAGACAGACAGATAGATAGATAGATCAATTTGGTTTCGTGTCGATGTTCCCAATATAGCCAGTAACTAGCTAGTAGCCCCAATATTAAGTACCCTGGTGGTGAAACCCTGGCTTAGTACTGGATTTACTCATGTCGGGGGAACTATCCATTTTCTGGGGGGCCATAGAGGGGGTATTCATGTTATATAAGGGAATTGTATTGTAAATGAATCCAGCCTTCCAATTTTCGAAAATCCAGCCTTGTGTTTCGCCAACTGATGCATCACCATCGGATGCCGAGCACCAATCCCATGAAGCCCATAAAGCTATCGTGAAACCCATGGCTTTGGGCTCGCAATTTGCGCCCACCCATTTGGGCGAAACGCGAAGAAGTCAAGGACTCAAGGACACCTGGCGGATGGTGTGTGCTGTACGACTGGGTGCAAATCCGATGTGTGGCGAATTAAAGAGCTCAAAACACTTTACAATTTGATTCAACAATATTGAACACATGTACAATGTAAACAAACCAGTACCTTCTAAAATTCTGGGTTCGATGGTGGCGTTCTGCTACACAAGCAATGTGTCACGTGTTGTTGAAACGAATTTGTTTTGTAGCACAAGTTTCAGTACGTAATGGTCAGGCACCCATTCAGTGGTGAATAACAGAATTTGCAGCTGGGTGTCTCACATCAAGGGTGACAGTGATGACAAAGGTTTGGGCTAGTATTTGCTGTAGTTTTAGTGTGGTCCAGATGCACATCACAGAATGAATCACGATGGGGAAACAAAACATCCTTTGCGTTTTGTTTTTTTGATGTTTTTTCCCCACCTGCCAGGTGAGGGTTGTTAGATTTTATGTCAGTTGCCTGCTCCTCCTCTCCTCCTCCTCTCCTCCTCTCCTCCTCTCCTCCTCTCCTCCTCTCCTCTCCTCCTCTCCTCCTCTCCTCGTCTCCTCTCCTCGTCTCCTCTCCTCTCCTCCTCCTCCTGCTCAACCGCGACCCTCGACGCACAGTGGTCTCTGTCGGACCTCAACCACGACCATCCACGCCCAGTGTTCCCTGCCGGACCTCAACCACGACCATCACCGCCAGTGTTCCCTGCCGGACCTCAACCGCGGGTATCCCCGCCCAGTGTTCCCTGCCGGACCTCAACCACGACCATCCACGCCCAGTGTTCCCTGCCGGACCTCAACCGCGAATATCCATGCCAAGTGTTCCCTGCCGGACCTCAACCGCGAGTATCCACGCCCAAAGATATGCCACATAGAGTGCCAGAAGATATGCCAGATAGAATGTTAGAAGATATGCCAGATAGAATGCCAGAAGGTATGCCAGATAGAATGCCAGAATAGAGCAGATAGAATGCCAGAAGATATGCCAGATAAAGTGCCAGAATGTTTGCCAGATAGAATGCCAGCAGATTTGCCAGATAATATGCCAGAAGATATGCTAGATAGAATGCCAGATGGAATGCCAGAAGATTTGCCAGAAGATATGCCAGATAGAATGCCAGATGGAATGCCAGAAGATATGCCAGAACATATGCCAGAAGATATGCCAGAGCATCTGCCAGAAGATATGCCAGAACATCTGCCAGAAGATTTGCCAGGTAGAATGCCAGAAGATATGCCAGATAGAATGCCAGATCGAATGCCAGAAAATATGTCAGATAGAATGCCAGAAGATTTGCCAGTAACAAAATGTATAAATGTCATGGTGGGGATCACACGAAGTAAAGTATTTTTTTTAATGAGGGCATGCGTGTTCTGCATGATTACTGCTGAACCGTTTGAACAAAGTCGAAGTCGCACCAAGTTTAGGACAACGTTTAGCGTCAAGAACTTTTCCAATTTAGGCAGGTGTTTGGTCGGTCAAATGCACATACATATGCAGGGTTGCTGCGCAAAACGCTGGCCAGAAATCAGGGGTGAGCGGAGGTAGCTGCAGACGCTCCCACGTGTCCAATGCCTGGCTGACTGTGATATATGAGTTCCATTCACAATGTTTGAAGATCATGAATCACCATGAATCATCTTGAATCAAAAAACTAAATGAGATGGCTTTAACTTTAATAGTGGGCATGACGGGTCTTATGGTATCAAGTGTGGCTGGTATCCAGCGATTTCGCTGGCACCAGCCAAGCAATGAAGATCCTAATTGGCGATTACCCTTGGTAACCGCTGGATACCCCTGGTATAGAGTCCAATTCCCCGGATACTGTCTTCAATCTGCAGGCCAAATGACAAGAGGTGTGAACATGACAGAAACAAGTGACCCCTAAACGGGTTAATTATCCTTGATGGGTAGTGAGATTGACTCCCATTGTTTGCGAAAATACGATTGCCTAGAGGGCCTAGTGCTCAAGACCTTTGGAGCACGGTTTCATGCCGGATGTCTTGGACACAGCAGAAGAGGCACTGAACACTGAAGGCTTGAAGTGTTTAAGAAATTTGGGTTCTTTATTAAAAGCAACAGGTTCTCGAAGTATCGAAGCCCTCATAGATTTGTCTCAAAATGGGGGATGCCCCAATGTATGCCCCACACCTTCCAGTGGCTTCTAGCCTGATATTTCTCCAAAAAGCAGCGCTTTGCCTTTGCTTTCATGATTTCTACGGCAGAACCTGATTCATAGAACCTGATCAATGCGGCGCAATGCGGCCCCCGATTGCCTGAAAGGGGGTCAAGGTCCCTATGGATCCACGGACTTTCAAAGAGATGCGTTTCATCTTCTCAGTCAACCTTTGTGGGTCCAGAGGGGGCCTAGCTTGATATCGTTTGGGCGACGTAAAACGCCCCACCAGTGTATCAAGAGACTCACGGACTCGTACTCGGTGGCAATTCCGTACCTTTCATCGCTATCCGTGGCGGGAGGCACGCATTCAAAATGCTCGGGCTGCGGGCTGCAACGATTTCCTAGCATATTTTCTAGGAATCTAACTCAACTTGGGAATGCAGTGGAATGGAGATTCAGCGATTGTTACAGAGTATTTTCTCAAAAAGAGATGAAGACTTGAGTACTTGAATTTGTTCATTCTCTTGTGATGGCGAAGGGGGGTACTTCTTGGCGGTGTTCTTGCTGCAACTGCAGCTCTCCAAAGAAAACCTTCCAAAAAACTGCGCAGACCCACAAAAATCCATATCCAGCCCCACTGAATTCCTATGGGAATACTATGGGGGTAGACCTGGTGTGTATTGGGCTCCGGCGTGAGCCCTGAAGTGGCCAATAATTTTAATGAATGTTTGGGAGTTCTGTTTGAGCACACACCGTTCTAATGGAAATGTGGCCGGATGCTTTGATCATACATTTTTCTTCGTGGCCTTTTCTGTTTTTGGTGGATCCTTGTGGGGTCCTGTTGGGATTATGTATAACATATCAAATCTTATATATATATATATATTTTTTTTAAGTGTTCTTCCTTGCTATGGCCCAAAAGCATCCAAAAGCTGGATTTGGATGGGATATGGATTGATTTTAGCGATGGTCCAACGGGGTGTTGTTTTCTGTTGTTGTTTTTTATTTGTTTGATTTCTCAAGTTTCAGTTTTTTTCTTGGAGTTTTTTGGTGGTGCCAGGACGACCTCAGGATAATCAAATCGTAGATTACCAGAAAACATCCGGACAAAAAAGCACGCGATATATATTTATATATTAATATATATATATATACATATACAACAGTCATATAATCATATAATAACTACATATATATATATAATAGAATATAATATATATAATGACAATTTTACCGTTATCTAATATACATATCTTTATATGATATTATACTACATACATATATATATATATATATACATACATACATACATACATACATGCATGTGTGTACGGTACATTAGCACAATTTTAGTAATTCTCTAAATAAACACATATATATATATATATACACCAAAGAAAAGAAACACGTATATTTTCCAATTAAGGCTACATGGAAGGTATCCGCGGATGTGGTTTTTCACCGCAGGCATTTGGATCGAGCTATCTGCGGTGCCGGGATGGGAAACTTGACCCGTAGCCGCCATGGATGTGGAGGGAAGCCTCCGCGATGGCAACAGGACCAGGATAATACTGGAATGATGGTTAATAAGGGGAATCATCCCAAAATGGCCTTATTTCAGGTCAGCTGGGGTTGGGCCCGCTAAGGAAGATGGGAGGCCTTATTTCAGGTTAGTGAATTACTATAATTTGCCCAGATGTATGGTATATTTACCTACAAAACTTGGTGACTTGTAGGGCAAATGTTGGTAAATATTCCAGCGCCATGGAGCATAATGGGATAGTAAGTATTGTCTTGTGCCAAAACAAATTACCACCATGGACATTTTGAAGTGATGTTTTACAATAAATGTCAAATTCGTGAATTGACTTGACTCGCCTCAAGTCGACGGCTTGACGATGGTGTTGAGTATTTCTCCCTGATGTTGGATGCCATGTTCTGAAGTGATCTGGAATGTCGATAATTCCCCACCTGCCAGGTGAGGGGTGTTAGATTTTATCAGAGTTGTTCTCCTCCTCCTCCTCCTCCTCGGCTAGCTGTCCTCCTCCTCGTCCTCATCCTCCCCCTCCTCCTCCTCCAGTTTCTCCTTGACCATGTCTGCATCAACTTCCACCTGCACTTCCGCCTTGCCAACTCTTCGCCAAGCTCTTTGCCAACTCTCTTCGCCAAGCTCTTTGCCAACTTCCCAGCTCAGTGTGCACCGCTGGACCTCAACCTGGGACCTTCCCAGCTCAGTGTGCACCGCTGGACCTCAACTTGGGACCGTCCCAGCTCAGTGTGCACCGCTGGACCTCAACCTGGGACCTGCCCAGCTCAGTGTGCACCGCTGGACCTAAACCTGGGACCTGCCCAGCTCAGTGTGCACCGCTGGACCTCAACCTGGGACCTGCCCAGCTCAGTGTGCACCGCTGGACCTCAACTGGGGACCTTCCCAGCTCAGTGTGCACCGCTGGGCCTCAACCTGGAACCTGCCCAGCTCAGTGTGCACCGCTGGACCTCAACGGCCAGATAGAATGCCAGAGGATATGCCAGATAGAATGTCAGATAGAATGCCAGAAGATATGCCAGATAGAATGCCAGAAGATTTGCCAGATAGAATGCCAGAAGATATGCCAGATAAAATGCCATGAGATATGCCAGATAGATATGCCAGATAGAATGTCAGACAGAATGCCAGAAGATATGCCAGATAGAATGCCAGAAGATTTGCCAGATAGAATGCTAGAAGATATGCCAGATAGAATGCCAGATAGAGTGCCAGATAGAATGCCAGAAGATATGTCAGATAGAATGCCAGAAGATTTGCCAGTAAGCAAATGTATAAATGTCATGGTGGGGATCACACGAAGTAAAGTAATTAATGGTTATTAGATTCCATCAGTTGATTATGCTCATGCTTTGCGAGTTTTCACAAAATGTCTCGATGATCGTCAACGTGGAGGTAAGTTGATCTTTGAAGGCCTGATGTTTCGATACTCTTGAGATTGCATTTTAGGTGAGGACTCCAGAGTGACAATGTTTGGATGGCGTTTGTCGACGTATTTTAGTTTGTTGCAGGGAGAAAGAGACATCTTTATCATAGGCATATTATACTGGCATATGTTTACTAAAGTTTACACATATCGCATGTTTATCATGATGATCATGACCTTTGCACGTGGCTTTCCATGGCCCTTACCATTGTGCCGTCCCTCAGCTCCAAATAGCTTGCAGTTGGACAGGAGCGATCAGACAGTGGAGAAAAGGCACAGGGGCCACTTGGACACCGTTTTTCCTAGTTGGTTGACTACTTCTCATGTTCAAAAGCATCAATAGTCAAGAGAATCAGTTGACCCAACAAGTAGAGTTTGAGACATAGCAACAGCCCGTAGCAACAAAGAAATTGAAGAACAGCCCGCTTACAGAAATGTATCAGAAATATGATGGGGCAAACCTCAAATCAGATTATTGTCCGTCCCTCCTAGGACAAGAAACGTTGACTTTCATATCTTGGGCCGGGTTAACCAACCAAAACCCTGCCCAAAAATATTCCTGGCTTGCCATCCAATTCCTGTGCGGGAAATGACCATTTGGGTTGTTTGGACTCAATTTCTATATGATTGTTGCTCGGGGACAATTTGATGTTTTAATTTGCAAAAAATGTGCATATCTAATCATATAGAGATGTTTGGGTTTGTTTGGGTTTGTTTATTGGTCTATCTACATAAGAAACCGCATCTATGTCGGACGATTTGAATTTGTATTGGACTGTGAGGACATCATGCTTAGGATCCATTGTAAGGTGCAGAACGATGCAGGGGGGACCCAAAAACATCCAAGAAACATCGACAACATTAGGTACGGATTCTTGACACGTTTTCTGAAAAGTTGACAGCGTGACAGCGTTGGAAACCGATGTCAGCACCAGAAACATGTTTCTTGGAATGCTACATGTGCCGTATCAAAAAGGTAAAACAATGGTTATATATGGCTATATGGTGATATATAGATATACGTATGGTTATTATGGTTAATTATATATATATATATATGGGAAAACATGTGGAAAACTCCAGGTTTTCCCGTGCTTCCCACATCTTTGGCGGCACCTAGATCTCACAGGCCATTTTTTTTTTTGGATTCTCGATGTGCCGAGGTAAACTCTATTTGCTGAGACCCTTGGCCGCAGGTGCTACGACATAAATGATGTGCAAAGAACCAGTGCTCAGCATGACAAACGGCCAGGGGCCACTTGGACCCCATGGCCCAAAGGTTAAAAAAACAAGAACGGACTTTCCAAATATGGCAGTCATAGAACATATATCTATATAACATAACCATATATACAGTAACCATAATAACCATATACAGCCCACGTATATATACGGCAAATGCCTGGGTTTTGCCCGGACCCGCAATGACGACGGGCGACGCATCATCATCATCATCATCAACAACATCATGATCATCAACAAACTCATCATCATCATCAACAACATCATGATCATCAACAAAATCATCATCATCATCAACAACATCATGATCAAACCATCATCATCATCATCAACAATCATCTTATTGACGATCTTCAATGAATGTAGAAGTTTAACGGGGGTGGGAGAATTAAACCCTTATTGAAGATCTTCAATGAATGTAGAAGTTTAACAGGGGGTGGGAGAATTAAACCCTTATTGGAGATCTTCAATGAATGTAGAAGTTTAACGGGGGTGGGAGAAGTAAACCCTTATTGAAGATCTTCAATGAATGTAGAAGTTTAACGGGGGTGGGAGAATTAAACCCTTATTGAAGATCTTCAATGACTGTAGAAGTTTAACGGGGTGGGAGAATTAAACCCTTATTGAAGATCTTCAATGAATGTAGAAGTTTAACGGGGGTGGGAGAATTAAACCCTTATTGAAGATCTTCAATGAATGTAGAAGTTTAACCGGGGTGGGAGAATTAAACCCTTATTGAAGATCTTCAATGAATGTAGAAGTTTAACGGGGGTGGGAGAATTAAACCCTTATTGAAGATCTTCAATGAATGTAGAAGTTTAAAAGGGGTGGGAGAATTAAACCCTTATTGAAGATCTTCAATGAATGTAGAAGTTTAACGGGGGTGGGAGAATTAAACCCTTATTGAAGATCTTCAATGAATGTAGAAGTTTAACGGGGGTGGGAGAAGTAAACCCTTATTGAAGATCTTCAATGAATGTAGAAGTTTAACGGGGGTGGGAGAATTAAACCCTTATTGAAGATCTTCAATGAATGTAGAAGTTTAACGGGGGTGGGAGAATTAAACCCCTATTGAAGATCTTCAATGAATGTAGAAGTTTAAAAGGGGTGGGAGAATTAAACCCTTATTGAAGATCTTCAATGAATGTAGAAGTTTAAACGGGGTGGGAGAATTAAACCCTTATTGAAGATCTTCAATGAATGTAGAAGTTTAACGGGGGTGGGAGTTTAATATTCCCTAATATCTTTGTTGATCTTCCCAATTGAATGTAAAGTTTAACGGGGGTGGGAGTTTAATATTCCCGAATACCGTTTTGTTTTTCCCATAGGAATTTCGGGTGTTTTGACATTTTTTTTAATATAGTCCCTAGTACCTGTGGTGTAAATTCCCATAGGAATTTAAGGTTTAACGGGGGTGGGAGTTTAATATTCCCTAATATCTTTGTTGATCTTCCTAATTGAATGTTAAGTTTCACGATTTGAGAGTTTAAAATTTCCTAGTACCTTTATTGTTTTTCCCATAGGAATTTCAAATGTTATGCCGTTTCTGTTTTTCCCATAAGAATTTTGGGTGTTTTGACCTTGTTTGTTTAATAGTCCCTAGTACCTTTGTTATTTTCCCCATAGGAATTACGGCAATTTGCAACATCATTTGTTTGTGAATGGGAAACCTCTACGCTGCAACGCCTGGGCAAAACCCAGGCGCTGCGCGTATATATATATATATATATATAAAATTATATATATATATGGTCCCGGCCGGCGGCCGGCAAACCCCCTTTCCCCGCCCCGATGGTATCCCCCTCACGCCCCCCCATGCTGGTGGCCTGGCCATATACCACCATCCATGTGCTATACTCACATGCTGGCCTCATGCCACCTATACACTACCCACATGATACGTCCATGCAGGGTTCACGGTTCACTGCCTATATGCCCATACAGCCTATACAATCTATTTGCAACCTACTATTGCCCATGCAATATCTTTATAGTAGCCATGTACTAGCTACTGTCATGATCTCATGTGCTATACATACATTCTGGCTATGTACTACTACATACACTATATACATGATACCCTTATAACACCCCACGCATCCCACAGGGGGGCGTGGAGCATGCTAGCTGGCCACATACCAGCTACTTGTTACCTTACATGCCGGTGACACACTACCCAGCCCCCACCTATCCCACAGGGGGCGCGGGGTGTGTAACTATATCTTACATAGAGACTCTACATACAGCGTACATACAGAACCATGACCATGAGGTCGGGGGTGGGGGGTGGGTTGCTGGCTTGGGCCACATAATATACATATATATACATAAATCCATCCATCCAAATATGTCCTATACAACCCCCAAGCTCAGGTGAAGTATCGGCCTGGGAGGAGCGGCCATTGGCTGATTGGCTTTTGTGACTTTATGCGGCCATAGAAGTACATAGATATGATATGCAGATGGATATTTTTTGCACATGTTATATATATATAATAAATAAATAAATAAATAGATAAAATAAATAAATACATGAAATATATACATATATATATATATATGGATGTATGGAACAGTGGCGTGGATCCAGCAATGACTGGTGGGGTATATAGGTGTATCGGTGTATATATGTGTTTGTGTCTTCCATCGGCTCGATATACATACAATATATATATATATATTATATATCATCTGTAATCATGTCATAATGCTACATCTATGTCATAACAAATGTATATCACAATCAGCATAGGATTATATATATATATATATATACATATATATAGGTGCGTACACGTGTGTTATTGTGTTATTATGTGTTTTTTCATTATTAGCATTGTTAGTGTTATTCTCCTTAGTGACCATTGGCATTTTTCGTATTATCCTGATCATATTTGTTGACCTACCGAAGCTGCGCTGCATGGTGACTGGACATGCCCTTGACTACTTGACTGGCCTCAGAAGAAATATCCATAGCTATTCGGCTTAGTAATGGTATGGGTTCAACCATCCAACAACACATGTCCTGTTTAGGACTCATTTTCTTCAGATACCATCCGATGTCATCAGACGTTTGGTTTGCTGGAAAGTTCACCATTTTGTTTGATGACACCGGAGGGTACGGGTAGTACGGGCTGGCCATTGGCGCCATTGGCAATTTGGGGGCAGGACAAAGGCACAGGCTTGGTGTCGATCATCGCTGTTGGGGGCCCCAAAGGGACATACACTATTCCAGATATGAGGTATTTATATGTATTTAGATTTTTTTGGAAGTTTTTGAGCAAATCCAAGTAATTATTTCAGCTACTAGATGTTGTAGAGAGAGAGAGAGAGAAATATAGGTGTATATGTACGTTATATATTTTTTAATAATATGTATATACTACTTAAAACATATAATATATCCATTATACTATATAAATATTTTCAATATATATATATATGTATATATGTAGAGGGGCCCTTAGGGGGTTCTGGATTTGAAAGGGACCAATGAATGGGAAACCAATGGTTGAGAGGCGTCCTCCAATTTTCGATCGCCCCTGTGACATTATACCAAAATACATCCAAATACATCCAAATACATGATTTGAGCTGCGGTTCACTGGTTTATATTTGATTTATTTGATATATTCTGATGATTCTTGATCCCAGCTCCAAGGGCTTCTAAGGCCGCTTATCAGCTCCGCCGTTAGCTGACTGTTTAGAGAGTTTATATATGATATTCTGCCAGCGTCCCTATGTTGGAGGGCACCATTGGCCAAAAGATTCCCGCACCTAAAGTTAGGTCAAAGCGGGTTCATCACTGGAAAGAGGGGCCGGTCGGATCATGGGAAGGAGTGACTCTGAAACCGCCTCCAGCTATACCATGCTATACCTATACTAGCCACCCTGGGTTGGCCTCTAGAAATGTGTTTTTGTGTTTTCAAGATGGTCTGAATTGCAGAAGGTTCTGCACTTTCCAGTTTGACAAAGATAGAACATGATAGAACCAGTTATTCATTCTCGAGGTCCGTTGAATCTCAAGACTGGGACCCCAAACTGAACTGTGTTTGAAAGAGGATTTGTCAGATATGATAACCGGTTCTGGAGTCCATTTTGAATCGTGGGATATTGTGGGCTCTTAAAACCTGCATTTGCTTGGTTGGAATCTGTTCTATTGAAACCGCGTCCAAATTGACTTTGGCAATTTTCTGCAACTGGGTGTTTCCGGACATAGAGGTGATCCAAACCATCGGTTTTACCATATATAATATCATATAGTCGCCACACCAATTTGGAATGACTTTGGGCCAATTTGGGGTCTCTCATTTGTGAAATCATCAACTACTATGCTGAGGCCGATGAGGGAAAGAGGCTCATTGTGCGCGATGAAAACAGCGATGTGCTGTTGCACGCCGGAGCCTAAATTGCTGCCGCTTGTGAAGGTGCATGATCTACAGGGGTCTCAGTCTCTAGATGCTCTAGATTTCCGAGAGGATCCGAGTGTATCCAAGCAACGCCGCCAGGACCGACCAGTGCTCCCAAATGATGACAGTTACCGACTGCAGGTGCGGTAGAACAACAAGGAACCAGGGATAACCAGGGTAATATGTTTCTGTACAACTTACGGGTCTGAGGGAAGTGGGACATATGGGGTAAATTCCCTTCAGATTTGGGTGGGAAGAGGGAACCCTTAGAGGTGCCAGTTGTCTTTGGGTTTTAAGGCCCAACACAGTTCCACCTTTTTTTGGTGTGGCTTCAGTGTGGTGGGATAGCACCAGTTGAATCCATTGGGTTGCCAGGGGGATGGTGCTGCAAAGTCCATTTTGGTCTCGGCGCTCAGATCCAAAATGTGGTGACCCATCGTCTTTTTGGTGATTATCTGATTTCCAACATCAAACATGAAGGTCTCACTAGATGACTAGACTAGATTCACTAGATTGTAATTATAGATGACTGCACTGCAGATGACTAATTTATAAACCATTCTCGAGGAGGATTGTTGCCATGACCACCAGAGGATGTTCCCATTAAGGCTTTGCTTAAGGCTAGCCATGTGTTGATGGAAACCTCGGGGGTTCTGCGCGTGGGTGCAACAAGTTGCCAGGCTATAGGACTGCAAATGTTCGATCACTTTTCCAAAGGGCCGTTGAATTTCTGGGCAACTGCCTTTTTTATTGATGTCTGCCACGTGTTCAGCGTGCAGCCAGAAGCGGGCTACAGTACTGTAAATTTTGGAGAGTACATTCCATTGCGTTCAATTGAAACAAACAACTGGTAGTTGAACAAAACCAGCAACTACAATAGAGTTTAGCCGAGCCACAAAGAGTATTTATATAATCGCCTTCGGCGTGTTCCGCCGGCCACCATGGAAAGAGCCGCAAACAGCGCTTGCGCAGGCCTAGCAAGAACATGTTTTCTGTTTCAAACATGGTGTTTGTGTATAACACGGTGTTTGTGTAAAACAACAAGTTGGGTAGACGGGGGGGGTTGCCCAAACTTCATCATTTTTTGCACGCACTCATGTCGACCTCTCTCTTGTCATGCCTCTCGTTTGGTTGGGGGGCAATAACGTCTTTGCGCTCACGTTGCTTTACGCTGTCATGTCTTACATACTCTACGCCACAACGTCTTACATGTACTGTCACATAGCTCAGGTTGCTCTAAGCTCATGTGAGCCACGTCTTTTTCTCCAGATGATGGAATTTAGATTGAGGAGGAACTCACATCATTCATGCGTAGGCTATTCTGCTTGGTGCGTAGGTCCTGCGTAGGCATATACGTAGGATGATGTAGGAGAGGCTGCGTAGGCAGTCTCGCGTTTAGATGTTCTAGATTGTTTGTTTCTGACCTCGAACTCTGGTTTTTTCTTGGTGGGTCACAACGGTTTGTCATGCAAACTGGATTGCGTGATTCATATATGTTTAGCTGGAAGAAAGGGGAGATTGAAGAAACAACCGCTTTTTCAGAAAATTACAAGTGCCAAGTTTTCAGAAAGCCATTTTCGTTTCGGATTTTCGCGTAGGCTCCGCGTAGGCCCTTGCGTAGGAAACGCGTAGGCCCTAGGTCAAATGGTGGCCCTCAGCCCATCAAAGTCTTACCGTTTCACTTTTCTAATGTTTCCATGAGTTCATCATGACTGCCGATCACATCATGACAAAGTGCTCCACTTGATGAGGCTTCCGCCTTCCTTTCGCAAGTCACCCAAAGAATCGTCATCTTCCAATGCTTTCTATTCCTCTTCTGAACCAGAATTGTGACCACATCACGTCAAGTAAAGAGATCGTTGCAGCAACTTTCGCGGAGGCCACCGCGTAGGATTCTTGAAAGGTAACCCTCGCGTAGGCAGTTTTGCATGGGAGGAGTGGTTTCCGTTGGCCCCGCGAAGGTGTCCTAATTTGTGTATTGCAGTTTAGCAAGGGAAAAAAGAAAAACACAACTCATGTATACTACGTCATCATGTATACTAACTAAATCGTCAAGTCTTACATGTAACTCAACTTATAATGCGTCATCATGTCTTCCAACGTACATGCGCCCCTTTTCATTTTTTCTTGTGATGTCGAACAATCTTAAACTTATCATCTCTGGTTGTCAGGCTTACCTCTCGATTCCGCACACATCGATGGCTTATCCGCTTTGTACATTCATGATCATTCATGAAAACCTTGGGATTGAAATGGTCATGGACGCCTTTGTGCGCTATGTGGCTATGGCTTTTGTCAAAGACAAAATTTATCCCAACAAGGCCTACGTAGATATCTCCTGGTTCACTGAAAAGTGACGAAAATCAGGACGAAAAGCTTGCGCGAAGCCTTGTAAGGGTTGTTTTCAACTTTCAACATTGATTTTGAAAGAAACGGAAGTTGACTTGATTGATGCACAACTTCATGAAGATGTTGAACCAATCCATAACATGAAGATCAAAGGAGAACGATGGACAATGATAAAAATAGGCTTGCCACCACAGCGAAACGTACATTTTTGAATCAAACAATTCCCTACTCATACATCTTAACGAGTTCAATGATGACCATTTTGGAGTTAATTAATCAAGACGGCCCTGAGATTCGGGCAAACCCCCCCGTCTACCCAATATGTTGCGTAGAATTATGTTTTTGTTTTACACATTGCAAAACATGGTTTTTGTATGTTTTTGTGTAAACAACGTCCTAAGATGGTTTAAGTTTAAACTAAAGCATGTGTGCAAACCAGGGTTTGGAAAAGGCCATATATATATATATATATATCCGGTCCATGTATGATATACCTGGGTATTCAATTGGTTACACATTTCTTTCCAGGGCAGATTTTGGTTTGATTTCTGTCCATTTTCTGTAGATTTGCCAATTTCAAAATAAAAATGACCATTTCAAGAAAAAACTCACCACTTCATGTTTTCATTTTTGAGTCATGATGAATCTGCCCGGGTATTTCCGCCCTTTTCCCGGGTATTTACACCCTTTTCCCGGGAATTTCCGCCCTGAAAAACCGACACATTTTTACGCAAAGTAAAGTAAGATCAGCCCAAAAGGTACGAAATCCAAAATTGACCACTGTAGTCAAAAAATGTCCAGCTCCTTCACAAGAAATCCGCGCTAAGGGCAGAAATCTTGCAAACGGACAATTATTTGTGTCCTTTCGAAGATCCAGGTATGTATGATATTAATGTGGGATACAGATTAGTGTGGGGATACAGAATTGTGTCCACAGACTCCAAAATTATTTTGTAACTTTGGAAATGATCGAGGGGTACAGTTTTGTGTCCACAGGATTTTGGTGTAAGTTTGTTTTCATTTTTTTGTTTTTTAGTTTTTAATTGTTTTTTTTTTATTTTTAATTATAATAATTTTTATTTTTAATTATTTTTATTTTATTTTAAATTATTTTTATTTTTATTTTTAATTATAATAATTTTTAATTTAGTTATTTTTTATTTTATTTTAAATTATTTTTAATTTTATTTTTAATTAGAATAATTTTTAATTTAATTGTTTTCTATTTTATTTTAAATTATTTTTTATTTTTATTTTTAACTATAATAAGTTTTAATTTAATTATTTTTTATTTTATTTTAAATTATTTTTTATTTTTATTTTTAACTATAATAATTTTTAATTTAATCATTTTTATTTTTAATTATTTTTTTTTATTGTTTTTTAAAATTGTGTCAGGATACACAACCGTGTCATTGTGTCAGGATACACAATTGTGTCTTGGTCTTTTTTGTTGTTCAAACATTTTTCATTTTTTTCATTTTTGTTAACCTTTTTTCTTTTACTTTTTATTTTCCGTCATTGAAATTTTCCAGATGCCTTCCACAGAAAATTACATCCAGGTACATAATAGTGTGGTTTGTTTGGAGGGTACACTATTGTGTCCAGCTGCTTTCCTGAGGTCATGATTTTTTGATTTTTTCAATCATTTCCTTTACCTTTTCCTTTGCTAGCTAAAGTGTTTTCCTTTCAATTAATTACTTTCTTAGTTTCTTTCATCTGAAATTCTCAGAAATGCCCAGTTTCCCAAAATATATGATGCCTTATTAAAACCCAATTAAAAAACATTACCCAAACAATTTTTCAAGGGGGTAGTCCATGAGCAACCCTGATACACAATAGTGTGGCTTGTTTGGAGGGTACACTATTGTGTCCAGCTGCTTTCCTGAGGTCATGATTTTTTGATTTTTTCAATCATTTCCTTTACCTTTTCCTTTGCTAAAGTTTTTTCTTTTAATTACTTAATTACTTTCTTAGTTTCTTTCATTTGAAATTCTCAGAAATGACCAGTTTCCCAAAATATATGATGCCTTATTAAAACCCAATTAAAAAACATCACCCAAACAATTTTTCAAGGGGTAGTCCATGAGCAACCCTGATACATAATAGTGTGGTTTGTTTGGAGGGTACACTATTGTGTCCAGCTGCTTTCCTGAGGTGATTTTGTTGTTTTTTTTCAATCATTTCCTTTACCTTTTCCTTTGCTAAAGTTTTTTCTTTTAATTACTTAATTACTTTCTTAGTTTCTTTCATTTGAAATTCTCAGAAATGCCCAGTTTTCCAAAATATATGATGCCTTATTAAAACCCAATTAAAAAACATCACTCAAACAATTTTTCAAGGGGGTAGTCCATGAGCAACCCTGATACATAATAGTGTGGTTTGTTTGGAGGGTACACTATTGTGTCCAGCTGCTTTCCTGAGGTCATGATTTTTTGATTTTTTTCAATCATTTCCTTTACCTTTTCCTTTGCTAAAGTTCTTTCTTTTAATTACTTAATTACTTTCTTAGTTTCTTTCATTTGAAATTCTCAGAAATGACCAGTTTCCCAAAATATATGATGCCTTATTAAAACCCAATTAAAAAACATCACTCAAACAATTTTTCAAGGGGGTAGTCCATGAGCAACCCTGATACAGAATAGTGTGGTTTGTTTGGAGGGTACACTATTGTGTCCAGCTGCTTCCTGAGGTGGTTTTGTTTTTTTTTGCAATCATTTCCTTTACCTTTTCCTTTGCTAAAGTTTTTTCCTTTTAATTAATTAATTACTTCTTAGTTTCTTTCATTTGAAAATCTCAGCAATGCCCAGTTTCCCAAAATATATGATGCCTTATTAAAACCCAATTAAAAAACATCACTCCAACCATTTTTTAAGGGGGTAGTCCATGAGCAACCCTGATACACAATAGTGTGGTTTGTTTGGAGGGTACACTATTGTGTCCAGCTGCTTTCCTGAGGTGATTTTGTTTTTTTTTGCAATCATTTCCTTTACCTTTTCCTTTGCTGAAGTTTTTTCCTTTTAATTAGTTAATTACTTCTTAGTTTCTTTCATTTGAAATTCTCAGAAATGCCCAGTTTCCCAAAATATTTGATGCCTTATTAAAACCCAATTAAAAAACATCACTCAAACAATTTTTCAAGGGGGTAGTCCATGAGCAACCCTGATACATAATAGTGTGGTTTGTTTCGAGGGTACACTATTGTGTCCAGATGCTTCCTGGTGTGATGTTTTTTTTCAAGCTTTCCCTTTACCTTTTCCTTTGCTAAAGCTTTTTTCTTTTATGGTATTTCTATGGTATTACTATTGGATTTCTATGGAATTCCTATGGGGTTTCCATGATGTTTCTATGATATTTCTGGAGGATTTCTGTGGGATTTCTGAAGGGGTGCTATGGGAGTTCTATGGTATTCTTATGGGATTTCCATTGGATTCCTATGGGATTTCTATGGTATTTCTATTGGATTCCTATGGAATTTCTATTGGATTCCTGTGGGATTTCCAAGGTATTTCCATGATGTTTCTATGATATTTCTATGGGATTATTATTGGAATTCTCATGGGATTTCTTTTGTGGTTCCTATGCTATTCCATGTTATTTCTATGATCTTTCTATGGTATTTCTGTGAGATTCCTATGGGATTTCCATGGTATTTCTATGATATTTCTTTGGGACTACTATTGGATTTCTATGGGATGTCGATTGAAAGTAAATTGGCAGTAAAATGAAATCAATTGAAAGTAAATTGAAATCAATTGAAAGTAAATTGAAATCAATTGAAAGTAAATTGAAATCAATTGAAAGAAAACTGAAATCAATTGAAAGTAAATTGAAATCAATTGAAAGTAAATTGAAATCAATTCAAAGTAAATTGAAATCAATTGAAAGTAACTTCAAATCAATTGAAAGTAAATTGAAAGTAAATTGAAATCAATTGAAAAGTAAATTGAAATCATTTCAAAATAAATTGAAATCAATTCAAAGTAACTTCAAATCAATTGAAAGTAAATTGAAATCAATTGAAAGTAAATTGAAATCAATTCAAAGTAACTTCAATTCAATTCAAAATAAATTGAAATCAATTGAAAGTAAATTGAAATCAATTCAAAGTAACTTCAAATCAATTCAAAGTAACTTCAAATCAATTGAAAGTAAATTGAAATCAATTGAACGTAAATTGAAATCAATTCAAAGTAACTTCAAATCAATTGAAAGTAAATTGAAATCAATTCAAAATAAATTGAAATCAATTGAAAGTAAATTGAAATCAATTCAAAGTAACTTCAAATCAATTCAAAATAAATTGAAATCAATTGAAAGTAAATTGAAATCAATTTAAATCTATCATTTTTTTTGATTTCACCGTATTGCGTACCCGGTACCTTGGTTTTTTTACATTATTCTGTATCCAAAATTTGTTTTGGAGGGGGGGGCCTCCCCACACTAATCTGCAACCTACATTAGAAAGGTTACTCGTGTAAAAAACCAGTGAATGGACAGGCCACCTATATAAAGTATTGGATACAAGAAAGGATTGAGTGAACCGCGAACCGATGGCAAACACTGCCAAAAAAGGCGGAATAACAGCAACATGTTCAACAACAAGCGCGTGTTGAGCAAGGCGTGGGCAGAGTTGAGCCCAGCACATCGTAACGAAAGATGAAGACGAAAAGCACGAAGAGGACGATGACGACGAAGATGAAGAATAGCTACGCCATGGGGTGGGTCGAAGTTAAAATCCGCGCCAAGGGGAAAGTCTAAGACAAAGACAAACGACAGGACAGAGAGTACAACTACGCACAAGCAAGATTCACAAGACACGCCGTCAGGCCGGCGGATTGTGTTTTACCCCAAGAGTTTTCTTCTTGATCAACCCATTTTCTTGAGGAAACCGTCAGCAACCTCACCATGAGGACATCGTAATACCTGTAATGGCCTGACTGATCACCCAAGAGTTGTGAGACCCTGTAGCCTTTGAGGTTTGGGAAGATGTTGGGTGCAGTACTCAGTTCAAACTGGTGTCGTTCTACACTTTTGTCGGCCGATTTGAAGGATGTAAAACCAGCACCTGACTTCCGCGTGCTGGTGCTTGTTTGATACACCTGTTACAATTTAGTGCTGACATACGTAAGTAAATTGCCAATGATTATAGGTAATGATTAGGACATTAGTCAATGGCCCCCATAAGTCTCCCGTGTCTTAGGTCACTCTGCATGATGCACCTGGAAAGTCCCTGCATGTTGGGAATGCACAAAAGCACAAGTATGCAAAAACACGACACCCTGTGTATCAGGTATTCTGCCCCAACATAATATATATATATAGGGATATAGGTATTGAACAATTTGAATATTGTTCATGTACCAGATGTTCCATGTCATGTATGGCTAGTTGGAAAGCAGTCCATACGTGCAGCATATGGGATGCTGCATGTTTATTGGTAGTGATAGTGCAAAGATGTGTAAAAGTTTTCCTTTTTTTCGTTCACCATGGGCCATGGATTCCATACATGTGGTGTGTATATATATATGTATGTGTGTATATAATTTGTCCGACTTTGTCCGACATATCCGATTATATTGGAGTTATTTTACGTCAACACATTGATTATGACAATTGCTGATCATTACTGACAATCGGCAATTATATGACTCTTTGTGGGTGACATATCCGATTAATTCCGATTATATTTAATTTACCGGGCCAATCAATTGCTGTAAATGTCACCCACAAATAGTCATATCCAAGAATTTGATCGAAAGCCACGGGACCTCCAGATTTCTCAGTATTGCATAACAATTGGATGATGCACAAATTCTACAGCAAACCCCTATAATTACTGGCAACAACCATGGTTTTGACATGTTTTGACTGTAGATTCCATTTTCAATGTTAGATTTAGGGATTTTTCCCACGATTCCATTTTCACCTCATAAATCACCAGAGAGATCTCATGTCATATCTCCATTTGAAGCCGTGGCGCAATGTGCCACCACGGCGAGGCTGGAGAAGGACTGCGCCTTGAGCTTCCAAGATGCGGAGAGTGCGCAAGAGATCTTCTCCGAGCTTTGCACCTTGGTGTTGGAAATGATGGAAAATATAATTTATAAATGAATATATATATATATTATATTTAATTATATACATCCAATTTAGGTTCCTGAAGTGGCCACCAGCGTTTTAGGCAACAGTGAGGATTTCAAGCAACAAACAGTGCGGGATTTGGGCTGGGATTCAGGCAACAGCAATGCTGGGTTTTGATGGGGGCTACAATGAATTTGCTGGTTGGTGGTTTGGAACATTTTTTCCTGGTTAATCTATGGTTAATAATGGTTAATAATGGTTAATAATGGGAAAAACAATATATCTGGCTGGTGGTTTGGAACATGTTTTATGAATTTCCATATATTGGGAATGTCATAACCCCAACTGTTACTCACTCCATCATTTTTCAGAGGGGTAGGTCAACTACCAACCAGATTTGAATCTATCTATTTGCCTTTGGTAATCAGTTACATATGGTACAGATGGCCCATTTAGCTCGATGATTTACCAATTGAACATGTGGCGATTTTCCATATCTACATGTCTACATGTTACTTTACCAGAGGGTGGATTAAAGATTGTGAGCACAAATGATCTTATGAAAGAAAACAGTCACAAGTTCTAAGTTCTTTTCTTGGATGTTACAATTTTCCACCTTTTTTTGAGAAGATGGAGGCCATTTCCCAGAGTTTGGAACAACCTACTGAGAAACGCCGGCTTTCCATTGCGTGGCTCTTCGTAATTCATGGGTTTTTCCAGGGACGGTGAACGGTGCGCTCTTGGAGATTTGAGCCTTAAATGGTTTGCCGGGCTTGCCGGGCCATCTCATTTATAAATTTTCGGCAGGTAGTCCTTTGATTGAACTTCCACATGAAATCATTTGGGTTTTCATTATCATGCTCGATTTTGAATCGTGTAGGACTGCTAGGACTGCTAGGATGATGAGGATGAGGGTTTCAGAAAGTTCCAAAGTCAGGGTGCCCCTGCCATTCTGAGGCGGTGAGAAGGCGCGTTGGATGTTGATGGGACATGCATACCAATCATGGCCTTTTTGCTTCATACAACCTATACCCAGTCATAGTTGAGTTTAAGATAGCCTATCTACGAACAAGTAGTGTAGGCAACTGGATAGTATTGACATGTATTGACTTCATCAACTAATTCGAAGACACTGGCTAAAAATTGGCAAACACGATGCTTCTGATCCCACGCAGCCAGCCGACTCAAAAAAGGGGGTAGATCTGTGCAACTTGTCCTTCCACCATGGCTGACCGTCGAGACTTCAACCGCGAGGTGGGTTGCCACCCTGACATGGCCAGCTTTAGGTCAACTTCACCCCCTTTCTATTTACCCAGGCTGCAGCGCGAAAATGGAACATTGTTGTTTAATGTTTTTTCTATATATACATATATATATATACATATTATCATATTTATATAATTTATACTTATATATACAATTATAGGTTCATTCATGAAAATGGGTGACAGTACCAAAATTCGGTTGTAGCTTGCCAATGTTTGTGGATCATATACGAGTCTAGGACCTAGGATAGCCTAAGTATATCATGGCATGTCCCTCAAAATCTGGGGTCCCCCAAAATTATATGCACAAAAAAAAAGTAGTGGATCGAACTATACTTTGCGCCCCCTTTTTGGAGGTTTTTCAATATCATCATGATTCATTGTGGCTATAAATCGGCTATAAACCATCCCATTTCAGGCATGGCTGCGGAAACCCACAGACCGCAGGAGATTCCTGAAGATGACCCGATGGGTGAGGAGAATCTTCCGGAGGACGAAGAGGAGGGCGAAGATCTCTTCGGCAATGACATGATGGACGACTACCGCGCAGACCCAGCACTGGACCAATACGCGTCTCGGTGATGTTTATGGGTGGTAGCTGGTATAAACCAGGTCCAAACTTGAGGCCAATAAAAAACAAGTGGGGGCAGGGGGTCACCGACATGGAAGAAGGGACATTTGAACGCAAAGTATATACTATATAGTTACTATAAATTATACTATAGTATCTATAGTGAAGGAAACCAAATATACAAAATGATACTATGACCGGTTGGTGGCCTCTTTTGCCATATGGGTCTCTGCAGGGTGTGAACCTGGGCTGCATTGAAGACCTGTGGGTCAACGGCCGTTTACCGGCCCGGTGTTGTATTTCCAAGATGTTCAACCTGAAGATAGATAGCTTATTACATCTTATTACTATAGCAATGCTCCGTTTACATCCGGCTTTTTTTTAGTGCTGGACTATGTTCAAACATGTTCTAAAATCTTGGTTTTCTGCTGGGATCCAGAACCTGAAGATTCCGCAAAAAGAAAACCCAGGTGCAGCACCCAGTTCCCGACCAAGGACCCAGAATTCTTGGACGATGAGCCGCACGAGCCCATGAGCATTCAAACTCGCATGGCTGCAGAGCGGGCGACTCTTGGCAAAAACGGCAAAACTCACCATGAAGCCATGAACGATGGGTAGGCAAGGAAGGGGAATCCAACAATTGCCTATTTGATTTTTGTTGCGATGTGTGTTTGATAATTCGCCCAGAAGGATGGGGCTTGGAAGAGTATTTTTGCCAGTGGGCATCGGAAACTGCCATCTTTTGGGTTTGTGTTAGTTTTCTCGCCTCGAATCGACAGGCTAGTGGAAAATCGTTGCCCGGAGTCACACGCTTATATAAATGGTAGACATGTCATTCGGAATGGCTCAACCATAGTGAATGATTATCAGAGGGTATTCCATGAATTCCATGAAATCCCCATGATACCACTATTAGAGTATACCACTATTATACCCACCATTGCCATTATTTTTCCATAAAATGTCCATTCATTCCCACTATGATACTGGTATAAGTTATAGTATAAGAGTGGCATAATACCACTGTTATACCACACCAACGATAACTATAGGCAGACTATAGGCTTATACCACCATTATACCACCACATTCTAAAACCACTATATATATATATATATATAGTATATATACTTACCCATAGTTAATGCCAGCATTATACCACTACTGTATTACTACTGTTCTATTATGCCACTATTTCTAGCATATCCATTAGCAAATTATACCACTATTCTACCACTAGTACACCACTATATATTACTCCATTCGATAGGGTAAGTCAAAATGGTATCACTATACTGATTGGGATACTATACTACTATATACTATTTATCATTCTTGTACGTACTATACCCTCTGGTAAACGAACATAACTATGGAAATCACCATCTTTAATAGGTAAATCAACTACAAGTGGGCCATGCCCAATAGCAAACGTTTAGTCACTACCAGAGAGTAACTCCATAAATAGGTGGTATATTCCCACACGGGTGGTTTGTGCCATTGTTTATGGCATTGTTTTACCCACATATATACCCTCTGGTTATTTAACATAGCCATGGAAAATGGCCCATTTATAGAGGGTTTACCTATTAAAAATGGTGATTTTCCATGGCTATGTTAAATAACCAGATGATAACTATACCGGAAGGTATCCCCAGCCGGTGCCAGGATGGAGGACCGTGAGGTGCGTGCCGGCCGCCGTGCGCGCTCGCCGTCGCCCAAAGGCGACTCCAAGACGCCGGCCTTCGCCAAACGCTTGGCGGCGACGTTGCAGGTGCCATGGGAACATGGGGAAATCACGGGAAATGCCAATTATGACTAATTATAGGGTGAGTTGACCAATTTGATGAATGTTTGTTTTTAATCTTGGGGAGTATGATAATGATGGAGGCATAAGCATTAGTAATAGTATGGAGTAGTTGGGTGCTTGAAAATTGGATAATTACTCATAGAACAGGCAATGTTTCAGTGGGAAAATGCTGGAACATGTTCATGAACCCGTGGATGGAAGTTGGAACCATATGCTTAGACAAACCCAAAGGGCGGTAGCCATGACAGATTGGGGAAATAGGGGGGAACAATGGGAAACATATAGAAACACAAATTGAACTTTCTGGATCGAAACATGAAGAAATCAAGCATGTGCCCATCCAAATTCTAGGGATTCCAACCGGCGAAACATGGCAAAGGCATGCAACGGCCATCATTGCAATATTGAAAAATTGAAGACGTGGCCAACCAAAAATGCATAAAAATGCATCATATAATTTGCCCAAAGTTGGGATTTCATGTTACAGTAGCAAAGGATGATGAATCCCCTACATTCGCCAGCAGAAAAATAATGTTAGCTCTGGAAGAAAAATGAGGTATGATATGGGATGAATGAAACCAGCAACAGTTGGGAAATCGGATTGAACACTGCTTTTCTCCAACATATGGAATTCACCATCACCACCACCATCACCATCACCATCATCACCATCATCATCACCACCATCATCATCATCGTCATCATCATCATGATTAATCATCAAAATAGTTCTGGAGGGATTCACCAAACTATAGGTCGAACAATGATCATGATTATACACATCAATCCCCCCACAACTTCTTGATGATTATATACTGTACCACTTGATATACGAATACATGCATGCATACACATGCAGATGCATATATCCATATGCATTAATTGTCATGTATTGGTCAGTTTTCCAGTTACAATATCTTTATTGCTTGAATGTACGGTGATTTATGTATTGTTTGTGTATCCCTTTGTTGTTGTTGTTGATGATGATGTTGTTGTTAGTTATTTGTTCACTTTGTTATTACATACTGTAATCATGTTTTTAGTTTTGCTTCTACTTTTTTATTGCTGCCTTTGGCTGTGGCTCGGGAGAGCTTGTGATCAAGTTGTTTGCCATCTGAAATATTTCTTTCCAAACAATGGATGTGGATGTTACACGATCTTACATGATCTTAACAAATGGAGGTTACATGATATCAAGAATAATAACAATTAAATGGATTATGAACCACCGAGAACCCAGATCATGTGTGAAACTCATGACAGTCGCATCGACATTTAGGATGAAATAACCTACCATTTGGGGATGGTGTCCCTTTTGGTTTACCACACCATATCCGATTAAAATGTCATTGATCCCCCATGAATATGCAAGTGTGAATGATCACCAGCCTAGAACTACAGCACACTCAAATATACAAAAGTCATACTCAAGTCAAGTCACTCAAGCCATACCAAAGTTATACTAAAGTCATCCCCTTTCACCCACAGCACTTCTCCATCTTTTTGAGGCCAGCCCCAGCAGCGTGGCGGAGTCCGAGGAAGCCACCACCACACAGAAGAAGCGCCGTGTGACCCGACGGAATTTCGCGGAAGAACAACGTAACGTGGGATCTACTGCAACCTACAGAACTATGATATGATTTTGATCTTGGTTATGATTATGATTATGATCTTGATGAGTATTTTGACTATGATCTTGATTAGCATTAGGATTCTGATTTTGATCTTGATTAGTATTATGATTATGATATTGATTAGTGATTACGATTATGATTTCATTTGTATTATGATTATGATTATGATCTTGATTAGCATTATGATTATGATTACGACTGTGGTTATGATGATGATTATGATTATGATCTCTAATAGTTTGGATTATCTTATGATTTGTTTAACATATTTAAAAGACTAACAAAACACTTGATCAAATTTACATCTTTGAACTTTGATTATGTCAGAACTTCAGCATCCAAGGCATCCCCACCAAGCGCTCCAGGTGAACGACCCCTTTGGTCTCAGCGATGATTTGGATGAGGAGGACGTACCGGAAGCTCTGCATCTCGGCTGGTATAATGAATGGTAAGTAAGCAACTGATAGACACGCACATTCACATATGCACATAGAATCATATATATATATGTATATATATACTGTATATGTGATGTTTATGCCTACGGGTTGAGAACCGAACCAGCGTTTTGCATGTTTCTATGTCTTTCATGGGGTTAACGGGGTGGGGTGGGGTGGGGTAATAACGTTCATTTGCACTGCCTGACATACATGATGCTACGCTGCTGTACGTCTTTTTGCACTTCCTCACATGCATGATGCTACGCTGCTGTACGTCTTCTTGCACGTCCTCACATACATGATGCTACGCTGCTGTACGTCGTCTTGCACTTCCTCACATACATGATGCAACGCTACTGTATGTCGTCTTGCGCTTCCTCACATATATGATGCTACGATAGTCTACCTTAGTCTTGCTCACGTGCAAGATTTGGACGCATGTTCGCGCTTGGCAGTGGAGATGGGAAAACAGTTCCCACAAAAACCTCTCCAAGCTCACTGCAGAAATTGTGAAGAACACTTAGCGCAGAAAAAAAAGAGTTCCGCTGAGGTTTTTTACATATCCAGTGAAAAGTACGCGCGTACTTTTTAAGGAAATTGAACTTTGAGAGAGATGCAAAACCACTGTGATTTGTGCTATGAAATCAATGACGAACACTGCAAACGTTGAAAACGCGGGTTCGATAAACAACGCGCCGGGATGTTTATCATCAATTTATGTATGTATATGGTAATGACATTGTTGAACCAAGAATTTGGGGTGTGCATATGTGTAATATTCATGAATATTCGTGCTGATGAATATGTGTTCGTCGTCCCTAATATAAGATACCATGGCAGCCATGAGTTCATACTGTCCCGCAACGTGGCAACGTGGCATCCATCGTCCCAGCAAGTTAAGGTACGATCTGATGCACGAGCGCTTGTCGCAGGGCTCGGACATCGAGAAACGTTTGGTTGAAAAGATCCGGTTGTCTTTCCAACAGTTCCTGTCCCTCGTCGCAGATGTTTAACATTAGCTGGATGCTGGGCAGGGGGATGTTTTTCTTGAGCTGTGGCCACCTTCCAGGCTTGATCATGTCAACCCCCAAAAATCCAAAAGACCGGATGATAAGTGTGGCTACCTCAAAAAAATCACAAGAAACTCATTTGATTTTAATTGCTATATGAACTGGAACCCAAATATCCTTCTCGAGTTGAGATGAGTCGTTACCAGCTGTGTCAAGATGTCCAGACTTCTTCACTAGGTGGGGTGACCCGACTTCAGCAGTTTCGCTTCCTAGTGATCCCGGTTGCACAGGCTGAAATATGTGGCGGAGAACGAGGAAGGCCCAAAGTATCCTGACAGGCTTCGGAAGATGGCCGAACAGCACCAGGCACATTTGGAGGTGAGTGCCTTGACGTTTCGCTGTGTGGTTTAGCAAGTGGATCGTGGTAGACCTCGGTTGGACAGAGTTGTAGTATGCTGTTTTTTTTCTTGGGTGCAAGAGCCGCCTGACTTTACAGAATTTAACCAGACATGGGTGATATACACCATCAGCACTTGCATTTTTTTTGTTGATTTTGATGGTTTTACGGCATTGTATGTGGTTTAAGCCAATGACTGGGAAGTAGATGCAGTTTTTTGCAATGAGGGATGAAACCCTGGGAATGGATCCAGAAATCTGGGACTTCGAATTGAAAGCTCAGAGAAAGGAGAGATATGAATGTTTCCATCCCATCCATATCATGCATGCATTACATGACATGTACAATGTACATGTGTATTTCTAATCATTTATATTTCATGATTTATAGGCATTTATGATCATTTATTCATTTACATTAATTATATTTTCAACGTTGATATCATCACCATTGTAATTCATTGCCTCTCTTTGTCCCTATCGAGCAAGACCACCAGTGAGGCTACGATGACATTCGACGATGGAGTCCCAACTTGGCCGCTGGACCGATCTTAGGGCGAGGGATTTGGGTAACGGTAATCAAAACATGGCTGGCTGGATCCCCTGGAGGTTATAACGGAGAAAATCACCGCGTATTGGGCTCATGATTCCCCATTTTTAGAACTTTCTGGACCTGGGGGTTGCGCTCATATCCATAGATGGCGTTTTTTCGTAAAGTTTCCCACTTCAAGGATTAATTAATTTGGAAAGTTGAAGTGGCTTTGGCCCCCCGAAGGAATGCAAATAAAAAGGCCTTAAAACATACGTCGACATAAAAGTTTCAGATATTTGTTCCAGGCATGGCACAGATTTTAGATGTTGGATAGAGCCCGAGTGGAACCTCATTGACTGAAAAATTGACACGGTTATATGTTTTGCGTACCAACCCTTAGTTCCACCACATTATATACAAGTCCATGTGCCCAGCTTTGAGCCATGCAACAACAAAACTAAGCTCCTGCAATCGCCTTGCGTGGCTCGAGACCCTCAAGGTCGTGCCCAGTTTGTTGGCTGATAATCTAAGTCTAACTACTGTAGTTCGATATATCCACCACATTCATCCACATTCCACCACCAATGAACTGGATTACCCAGTTACTTTTGTTAAAGTTGTAATTCCTTATTTCCCAGCTTATGCGGGAATTGGATGAGGCTAAAAAGATTCCTGACAATTTACATGTTTTTTCAGGAAGTAAGCCAATTAATGTTGGATCAATTTCAACCATTTTTATCCAACAGAAATTTGGGTAAAAACCATGAGACTCCCTGTCGGTCAAGCCTACCGAGTCGCTGTGGGTGTCGGATTTCCCGCACAACGTGCTGCCCATCCTGTTCTTTGGCGGCGGCACATGGCGGGGGATGGTTTTTTCCCATAGCAAAAAAGGTGAAAAAAACATTGCAAAAAACACACTGAAAATCCTTTCCGGTTTTCCTGGATAACAATATGATCTCTAAATAATTATTGTAGGTGGATTTTTGATATATCTTTGTTTACTGGAGGGTCTTGATTATTGCGGGATTGCATTGGAATAGCGAGATATCTCCAGCTTAGAGCTATGTAATGACAATGTAAATCCAACCGGAATCAACATGATGTCAGGGGTCGATCAAGCAACCAAAGCATCACCAGTAGACCCCGAGTCTGGTCAGATTGGAGTCTGTGTTGTCTATCCCGACACCAAATACCCTCTGGGGTGTTTGGAGCATTTTGATGCTGTGGGGTTGAACAAAGGGAAGTCGTAGAGTCGTAAAGCAGTACCTCTGACAAATTGGCACATTAAAACACAATTCAACGGGAATTTCAGGATCCTAAAATGGAGGTACCTGACCTACCATATATAAGGCCTATATAAGGCCTATGTAAGTGAATATCACCACAAAATATGGCCTTATATGGTACAGTACCTCCATTTTAGGATCCTGAAATTCCCATTGAAACACAATGCCCTCAGCTCCAAGGAACGAAACGTTGATGTTGGTGGCGGCTCGAAAGTTCAAGACCTACACGAAGTTGGCTGATGCAGGTTGGAATTCTTCGGGAATGTCATGATTTGCCAGCACTTTTTTTAAAGGGGACTCACATTGTATCATGCAACCTTAATCAACCAAAGTCTGAAACAACTCTAGCAGCTGTTTAATTCTGAAGGATACTTGAGGTATCATTCTGCCAGTTCTGACATAGTTGACATATGTTGAGATCACAAGTTGACATTCCGTTCCATCCCTTTCCCCTCGACTCTTCGCCAGGCGAAAACGAGTTGCGTGTGGCCATCGACAGTTTCCCCGTCCAGGCTCTTCGTGCCACGGGTGCGGGGTTGGATGTGGCTGCATCAAAACAATGAGGAATTAAACCACTGAAGAACGCTTTATACTCAGCAAGACTAAGTGGTGGTGCAGGTTGCAGTAGGTTAGTTTCAACATGGTTTGGCTGCTTCAAAAATTTAAAAGACACATTTAAAATCATGAAAATACATGTTTTTTTTTACAAGAAACAATGAATAAAGAGAAATGACAAGAAATACATATACAACAAAATGCATAGATAGAACTCAAATGATTTTACTTCATTCTATGTAATCTGTTCAGGCTGTGGCCACGTGCAAACAATCTTAGATTTTTCCACAGCACATCGCGTGCAGCACGTTTGCGATTTTCTTTTTTTGAGAAACAACATTTTTTTTTTTGCATGTGCTTGTCAAAAAGAGAATCTATTTTTGATCTCGAGAAACATTTTCTCAATTAAAACCAAATGCAGGTTCTTCCACTGTCGCAAAACCCAAGAGATAAAAAACAGCAAAAAAAATAAAAATATATGTTTCGATTGTTTTTAATTATTTGACATTTCTTTTCACTTTTTGTTCATTGCTTTCATGTTTTTTCATTTCTTCTCAATTCTTTACATTTCCTGCATTTTCCTTCTCTTGAGAAAACCAGTGCCAATCCAGACCACTTGCATGTCGACCCACTACTTAGTTTTGCTGATATACGTCATAATTATATACAATTATGTCATATGAATTCAGTGGTCTAAGAATGTTTTGAAATAGTTTTTACCCTAATCCCTATAATATAATTGATAGACCCAATCTATATACAATTCGTTGTTGATATTTGGTTGGAATTCTATGAATTGCTGTAGAATATGCTATTGTAATGTGTTGTATAGATATACAACAGATAGATATTGAGTCAGTAACCCTATAAAGCTTCATATGTTCACATTGCTGTACTGCATGGTATTAATTAGTACTTGTATATAAATTAGTGGAGGTTTGTTAGTGGCTGGTCCCCAAGTCACAATTGGTTTCAATTAATGAAAGTCGTGGCTACTGTTCGATGAGAAAATCGGGTGCCCCCATGACCTTGGAAACCTCCATTTGCCATATATCTGTATCCAATGATATATGTACATCATTATTCTGATATATAATCTATGTGTCTATGGATATATATATATATATTAAATAATCTGTGTGGATTGGTATGTAACATATACGTATATATATATATATATGTGTGTGTTTTATGTATTTATATATATATACTGTCTTATGTTTAGATGCATCCATATCTATATATGTATATACATATACAATCATATACATATACATATATACAGGGTTCCCGTGGTTCGCATCGATTCGCATCGGTTCGAAAATAACTTTATGAACCGCGAAGCGGTTCGTTCCGGTTCGGTTCCGTTGCGGTTCGTGTGGAGACCGGTTCATGGATTCATTCGGTTCCATTCGGTTCGGTTCTTGTCTGGAATTGACTGCATTATTACCTTTTATATACTGTGAGGGCCCATGGCCTTGAAGCTTCCAAGGTTTCATTTTAGGGGGCTGGAAATGTAGGCCCTGTATCAGTGATGGTTCCAAGCCGTGCTTGTCATAGTATAAACACTACAGGTTCACATAATATATTTTTATAAACTGTTTCTTGATACTTTTACCAGAAAACTACCCAAACATCTTCACATGCAACGCAGATGGTACAGGAAATGCATCAGGGCAGCTGGGATGACCAATGGGTTCTGCAGCCTTTTTGCTACAAAAGCCTCAAGCGTTTGGAACCCACCGTGGTTCAGCTACTTCTCTTTTTACCATGTCGGATGATGCAGCTGCCACTGCACCAGCTGCCGCAGTGCCAGCTGGAGCTGCACCACTCACTCGTGGACAAGACCAGTTGCCAGCCTTACGCGCAGCAAGGGCCGTGCTGAAGCAGCAGCTGAAAGAATCGACCAAAGAGATTCGCAAGGAGGCAGGTGCCACTCAAATTCTCATTCTTGTGGGGGACATGAGCCCTGAGCTTGCCAGGGTTGATGCATGTCAACAAACGTTGGCCATGTGACTGCATGCGCGCCTGTCAATATCTTTCTTGCCAGGTTCGCCGCAGATCTCGCCTCATGAAAAAAGCCCAAGGCTTAACGACGGGTGACCTGGCTTGGCTCATTGCTCGCCGTGCAGCTGAGTGAGGTTACAGCATTCATGCTTCCGAAAAGGATGCGGTTGAGCTGCAGCAGAAATCGTCCTCATTTTCTTCAAAAGCAGAAGGTGAGCTATGCGGATGCATACGCCGAAGGCGTTGAAGTCAACATCCTTGCGCCTGTTTGAAAAAAGCCGCTTATTGGGTCATCAAAGTGACTGTTTGGAAAGCCAAGGGCGACATGTCAGGGAGTGTTACGTTCGAAAATGTTGCAAGGAGAGACAAATGTGAATTCAATCAAGGCATCAGGTTCAAAGGTTCCCATGTTGAATCCTTCGCCAATCCCAATTTCATGTGCCGAAATCACTTTGGGTGTTTTATCTTTTGCGGCCTCTGGCAAAGTCAGAATTCTCATGGCCATGCGGTTTGAGCTGATCAAATGTTCCGCCCTTGCCATTTTACCCTTGGTGTGGAGAACAGATTTTGGAGCCAAATCCTATAGACACGGAGCAAAATAAAGTTAAAACATTTCAAAATACTGTTAGGAGCTTGTTGAGCAAATCCCATAGGCACGGAGCCAAATAAGGTTAAGACATTTCAAAATACTGTTAGGAGCTTGTTGGGCAAATCCTATAGGCACGGAGCAAAATAAGGTTAAGAAAGTCCACATAATAAGAAAATCAATAGAATCATCTAATTCTTTTGATTGTGAATTTCCAGGTTCTTAACCTTATTTGCTCCAATTCCATTAGGATTGCAGTCCGGAAGTCTTCCCTGTATTTTTCGAATCCTTAACCTTATTTGCTTCACTTACATTGGGATTGCACTCTGGAAGTCTTACCCTTATTTCGCCACCCCTTACCCTGATTGCTCCATTTACATTAGGATTGCACCACGCAAATTGACACTCACCTCGCGGAGCCTCATCCTTATCATCTCATCACACAATTTTCAGCATATTGCCGGATGTGGCGGCAGCTCGGCTGCTGGCGGCTGTGGCGGCTGTGGCGGCTGCTGCTGGCTATGGCGGCTGCTCGTGGATGCAGCGGCTGTGGCGGCTGCTGCTGGCTGTGGCGGTTGCTCGTGGATGCGGCGGCTGTGGTGGATGCGGCAGCTTGGTGGATGCGGGTTGCTATGGCAGAGGCCATCGGCTTCAGCGCCATCACCTTGAGGGAGGGTTCACATCATATTGGCACTTGTTGGCTAGATTTTCCTCCTAAGTTTGCAAGTAGATGAGATTTGGCATTGGGTTGTTGCGGCTGGCCGTGGCTAGGGCGCCTGCGTTTCTTTCGTTTGTGTCTTGTCCTCCTTGTGGTCTTTGTCCCTGTCTTCTTGTATCTCTCCCCTGTTTCTCCCCTCGTTTGTTTTCCTGCCATTGTCGCCCTGTGCAGGTGCCTACAGCCCTGACTGCAGCCTTTCGGAGGGCATTGGGCGGAAACGCTATTTTGACCCCTCTGGTCTATGCAGATGAATGCACGCCTGGAAATGTGCTGAGTGTTACCAAGTCTCGTAAGGCATGTTTGTTTTACCTCAGTTGGCGGGAGATGTGGCATGGATTGAAAAACCCCAATTGCTGGGTACCGGTAGCTGCCATCCAAAGCTCCGCCATCGCGTCTCTGGAAGGAGGTGTGTCTGCAGTGGTGGTCGCGTTGCTGAAGTATTTGATCAGCGACACTGACCCTCCTGGGATTGAATTGGCGCCGGATCTTTTTTTTCGCCAGCATTCTGCTGCCTGGTATGTTGGCGACTACGAGTCGATCAGGGGCGTTTTCTCACTGAAAGGTTCGGCGGGCTTACGGCCCTGTCTGTGGTGCAGCAATGTGGTGAAAAAGGATTCCGGTCTACCAGAGCAGGATGGTTGGTTTAGAGACATCACTGCCTCAAGAGGTTTTGAGAAGGTTCATGCTGATGAGATTTGGGCCATCGCTAGAAAAATGGCGGAGCCGTGCAGCAAGAAGGATTTGAAGGAACAGGAAGTGACTTCTGGGATTGTTTTCAACACCCATAGCCTTCTTTGGTCTGATCAAAAGGAGAAAATGGTGCCAGAGCGGATTTTGTACGACACGATGCATTCGTACTACTCGAACGGGTGTGCAAGCTGGGAAATTGCGTTATTGCTTCAAGCCATTTATACCCGGACGAATGTGACAAGAGAAGTTTTGCAGGAGGCAGTTCTTGCATGTGACTGGAAAAGCTTGAAATCGTCGGGTAAAAGTCAAGCTTACATCCGTGCTCTTTTTGATGAAAAGATCTGCAATGAAGAACTCTTCAAGGGCCAAGCGCACCAAACTGCTGCCATTGTCCCTTTGATGTGGTATACCACGGAGACATTACTCTTGCGCTCCCTGTCGGTGGAAGAGATCAAGTCCTTTCGTGGCATGGGCTCCATTGTGGCCTGGATCCGGGAAAAATACCATGAACTCAAGACACTGGACACAGAAAGTTTGAATACATTTGATCGACTTCAGAAGCTGCATCACTACTGGTTTGTAAAGGCGTACCCTGCCAGTTGCAAACCGAAACATCATCACCGACTGCATTTGGCGGAGCAGTGGAAGGCATTTCAAATTATAGTGTCCTGCGAGGCCCTGGAATCAAAGCATCGGCTCTATAAGGCCGGCATAGGAGAGAGGCAGCGTGGCCTTACCAACGATCCTACTTCATTCAGTGCCAGCTGTTTGAGTCGCCTGCTGCACGTGTCGTGCTCCGAGTTGATTGAGCAGGGCCTCCCCTTTTGGGAACTTTTAAAGCCCATCGAAGATGCATGCCTGGATGACAAGATTGCATTCACCACTCAGAACCTGAAGACCAGTAAGCGTGTCTCGGTTGGGCCATCATATCTTTGTGTCAAGAAGCGGTGTGCCCGCTATACATATTTCAAAATTCATCCCTCCAATTTAGAATTTGATATCTTACCTTTATTTTTGTTTATTTTGTTGAACTATATCCAAGAAAAATACTTTTCTACAACATCGATCTTTTTCCATCAGGCTGCTACCTGGTCGCATGCCGTGTCGAGAAGGACGACATTATATTGTGGCCTTCTGTCGGCGGCATCGTCATTCGGTGGTTTCACAGCGACGAATTGGGTCTGTATGTGCGGCTGAAGAAACTGGATCTGGCTTCTTGGCTCCAACAACAATACGTTACCTTGGTGGTTCCGGTTGTTCCGGCATTGGCGCACTTCATGACTGCTCCTGTTTTTTGATGTATGCATACGCTGTTGCTGAGGTTGATGAACGGATTTGGGGCACGACCTGGCGAGTCACGAATGAAATCTTGGATCATCGGGTCAGTGTCCAAACAGCACCATCCATTCCTTCTTGGTATCGCTACACAGAAGATGGCCAAGGCGTGATTTGCTTGCGTTGACGGAAACAATGACGTGGAAAAGTGACCTCAGTCAGTTCCACTTGTGCAAAGACATGGACATGGCTTTTTAACGACCATAAGTAGAATTTTAGTTCCATTGTTCGATGGTTGTTTGCTTATAGCGGTGTGCCAACCGCTGGCAATGTAGCGGTGTGTCCGCTGTAAAAACCTCGTCAAGTTTACACACAGCTTTGCCTTCGCACAACTGATCTTAGAAGGCCTGCAGGATTTGTGTTCTCAAGCAATTCACAGAAGCATCAAAGATGGGTATGACGCCTCTGTGGATCTTGGACTTGGCTTCAGCCCTTTCCCTGGCCATGGCAGCCTGGTCAGAAGAAGAGAAAGAAAAGCTGGAATGCCTCCGTGAGTGGCTCCGCAATGTGTGCTTGACTTGTGGCCTCAACAAAAACACGGAGAGCCTGGGGCATCTGTGGTGCATGATCACAGTTGCCCAGGTCAAAGTATGCGGCGGGCATGGGGACGATATAGGAACTGACTCGATTGGCGTACCATTTGCTCAGCTTCCCTTCACAGACCTCCTGAAGATGAACGTCTACCAGCTTCACTTTCTAAAGCTGGACATGAAGAATGCACAGGAGATGCTGCTGAAGTTAAAGTCTTGCGATCCGTGTGATCTTGCATTGCTCGAAAATGTAGAGCAAATTTGCACAGAGATCGAAGATCTCTTGAAGGAGCCGTCTTTCAAATGATTTCTGTTCCTGGGGGTATGAAAAAGTTGGGACTTTGCGTCTGTGCCACTTGCTATTCAGCGGTGTGTCCGCTTTGCATGCATGATCCCTGTACATAGTATAGCGGTGTGTCCGCTTTTCCTTGTTTTATTTCTTGTTGATCTTGTTGAGTCTTTTGTATCCGGTTGAATTCCTATATATACTTCCAGCGGTGTGCCCGCTTGCACTGAAAACATTGCATGTCACAAGCAACTTTTTATCCTAAATTCTATTATATCCATGCTCCAAACGACTTTTTCCATGTAACCTGCCAAAACCAGGAAAAACAAGGTTTTCAACCTTGTTCTACTTATATCTACTTATCTACTTATATCTACTTAGACCTACTTATCTCTATTTATAACCTACTTATTTTTACCTATGTTAGCAATGAAAAAGTAAATGTAACATAAGTTAACATAAGTAGGTTTTAAGTAGGTTAAGTAGATGCCATCTACTTAAAGTAACTTGAAGTAGTATAAGTAGACCCGGTCCTATAGGTATGTTTGGCCCCGAAAGTGCTTCTTGGGGGGTTACGGGATCGTACAGTTGAGTATACGACATGGGTATGGGGATTCACTAAATTTGCCAAATCTTTCTATTCAAACAGAGAATTTCGAAGCCTAAACTGTTCGGCTGTACTGATTTTCCGTAACCCCCGGAAAGCTATGTTTGCCCCCGAAAGTGCTTCTAGGGGGGTTGCGGGATCGTACAGTTGAGTATACGACATGGGTATGGGGATTCACTAAATTTGCCAAATCTTTCTATTCAAACAGAGAATTTCGAAGCCTAAACTGTTCGGCTATATACTGATTTTCCGTAACCCCCGAAAGCTATGTTTGCCCCCGAAAGTGCTTCTTGGGGGGTTACGGGATCGTACAGTTGAGTATGCGACATGGGTATGGGGATTCACTAAATTTGCCAAATCTTTCTATTCAAACAGAGAATTTCGAAGCCTAAACTGTTCGGCCGTACTGATTTTCCGTAACCCCTGGAAAGCTATGTTTGGCCCCGAAAGTGCTTCTTGGGGGGTTACGGGATCGTACAGTTGAGTATATACGACATGGGTATGGGGATTCACTAAATTTGCCAAATTTTTCTATTCAAACAGAGAATTTCGAAGCCTAAACTGTTCGGCTGTACTGATTTTCCGTAACCCCCGGAAAGCTATGTTTGGCCCCGAAAGATCCCGAAAGTGGTTCTTGGGGGGTTACGGGATCGTACAGTTGAGTATGCGACATGGGTATATGGGGATTCACTAAATTTGCCAAATCTTTCTATTCAAACAGAGAATTTCGAAGCCTAAACTGTTGGGCTGTACTGATTTTTGCCGTAACCCCCGGAAAGCTATGTTTGCCCCCGAAAGTGCTTCTTGGGGGGTTACGGGATCGTACAGTTGAGTATACGACATGGGTATGGGGATTCACTAAATTTGCCAAATCTTTCTATTCAAACAGAGAATTTCGAAGCCTAAACTGTTCGGCTGTACTGATTTTCCGTAACCCCCGGAAAGCTATGTTTGGCCCCGAAAGTGAAAGTGGTTCTAGGGGGGTTACGGGATCGTACAGTTGAGTATACGACATGGGTATGGGGATTCACTAAATTTGCCAAATCTTTCTATTCAAACAGAGAATTTCGAAGCCTAAACTGTTCGGCTGTACTGATTTTCCGTAACCCCCGGAAAGCTATGTTTGCCCCCGAAAGTGCTTCTTGGGGGGTTACGGGATCGTACAGTTGAGTATACGACATGGGTATGGGGATTCACTAAATTTGCCAAATCTTTCTATTCAAACAGAGAATTTCGAAGCCTAAACTGTTCGGCTGTACTGATTTTCCGTAACCCCCGGAAAGCTATGTTTGCCCCCGAAAGTGCTCCTTGGGGGGTTACGGGATCCTATTGTTGAATATACTACATGGGTATAGGATGGTATAGGGGATTACAGTATTTCCGGAATCTTTTCATTACAAGGACGAATTTCGAGGCGAAAACTGTTTGCGGTGCTAATTTTCCGTAACCCCCGGAAAGCCATGTTTGGCCCGGGGGTTACGGGTTCGTGACTCGAGAAAAAAGATGTCTGAGACCGAAACGCTTGTTGAAGGGTGGCAAGGTATAAGAGATATAAATAATCATTCTTACATTATTTTTCAAATCAAATTAAAATATAACTATGATTTTCGGTTCGGTTCCGACAGATTTGCGGTTCGGTTCCTGCGGTTCGTTTTCATTTACCGGTTCCATGACCCCGCGGTTCGTTCCGGTTCGTGTTTGTCGATTCGTGTCGGTTCGTGGGCACACTGTATATAACATAACATGTATGCATATACATTTTATATGCATAGACGTTGTATTTTGAATCCATCCTCTAGCACCCTTAACAAAACATCCCAGACTCGGTGCTAGGACAAGATCCGCAGCTTGTGCACCCAACACACCAACAAGCTGGTGAAGGTGGCAGGGGTCGTCACCAAGCGATCTACGGTCCGCAACCAGGTGCCCATTCTTCACAACGGGTCAACTTTGGGTTGGGAAGTCGATGTTTTCGCGGCGTTGACCATAAATGGCTTTGTCTGACACTGGGAATTACCGGCAAAAAATGCATTTTTGGGCGGAAGATCTAGATTTATGGCTAATTACCTCATCTTCAACATTATTCAACATCTAGCTGACTCTCATTTTTTTTTGTTGGTGTACTCAAGATCAGCCATATTTAGGTTGGTTTCTGCTTGTACATATTGCTGTACCTCCTAGAGCAGCCAGGGAATTTGACATCGGATCCAAACGCCGAAGTCCAAGACCCGCTTTGAGTAGATGTAAAACGCCTTCTGCATCCTCTTGCTGTAACACGTATGATACGTATGTTTACGGGAAACAAATATAATCCCTCTATTTTTGGTTTGAGGTGTTTTCCAGGCTCATCCTTACCTGGAATGATACAATTTCGACCTTTATTTATGTTGTTGTTTCTCCGGAGTTGGTGAACACACCAACAGCAGTGACATGTTCATCTTCTGATCTCTTGCCCTAATTACATTAACACACACTGAACAATCCCTCTCAAACCCTATATAATCACAGTAGATCATATATTTGATCGACTCATTTTTTGGAACCAATGGAGGACATGGGATGATTCTATTCGCTGCATGAACCTCAATGATTATTCAATCCACATTTCTGGTGGTTGATTATGCATGATTTTCAAAGGCATGGTATACCCTAGATCCTTTTCCCCAATGTTTGCCTTGACTTACACATAATTTGTCGATTAGCGGTTCAACAACCATTTGTGCGTTTTTTTTTGGTTGTTGTTCTTGCATTTTTCTCTCTATCCTGGTATATTCACCATCATGTATCCCAACGCTGTTGATGAACAGGACCTTCAAAATCCCCAACGCTGGGATTCTCTGAAATCGGGTACCCCCAAATCCCTTGGCTTATCACCAGGTTATATCTATAATTCATGTGAGATGTTAAATCACAATTTCAAGTTTAACCGGTTATATAACCCAAGTTTCAGACGCAGCCATTTCATAGTATCTCCACTAGATCACTATTAAATCCCTAGGATATCACACTGTTGATTGGTTAAATCAGCAATTTCAGTGATGAAATTCAGGATGTTCATTGGTTAAATCACCATTGTTGGCCATATCCATATCCGCCGGCCTTTGTTTCAGGTGAAACGCCTCTGGGTGCGTTGTGCCAAGTGTAATCTGCCTGCAGGGCCCTTTGAGGTTGCTGAGGAGAAGGACTTGAGGCGAGGTTGTGGGAGGCAGATTGTATCCTATTTGTTATTTAACATACAGTGGATGGTTGCGAAATCCTGCGCCAGTTGATAGGTGGTTTGTCCCATTTTTTAGAGGGTTTCAACATGCAGGATTTCTTCAATCCATAGTAGCTATGGAAAATCAACTAGAATGAGTAAAGCAGATGTTCAGGGTCTATGTCAAGTGGGGGCAGGGTAAGGTAACTAGTTCATGATGGAAAAAGGATGAAGACTCAAGACAATTTTCTTGGGAAACGTTGGCAAAGTATCAATTTCTTGAATTTCATGATTAAAAATTGGTGAAGCAACATTCTTGTTTGTGAAACATTGGTAAAGCAACAAATCTATGGTGAAAACACTGGTGAAGCAACAATTTATATAATATTTAATGGTGAAACATAGGTAAAGCTGAAGTAGCAATTTCGGTTGAACCGTTGGTGAATATCCATTTTATGGGAACACATGGGTGAGGTAACAATTTGTTGTTCAAACATTCAAGTTGGTAAAGCAACATTTTGGTGAAATTGTTATGTGGTGAAACCTTAGTAGCGTAACAACTTGTATGGTGAAATATTGGTAAAGTAATAATGTTATGATGAAACATTGGTGAAGTATTTTTTGGTGAAACATGGATAAAGTAACCACCTCATGATGAAAAAGATTGCGATTGATACTGAACAAGAGGAAACGTGGGTGTGTCTGAAAAATCGTAACACTTAATGTTCTGGGGGTTGTCTTAAAGCATAGCGTACCATAGCGTACCCCCCAACTGCAATTTCATGAGGAAAATGAGGCCCTTAACGGACCATTGGATTTTGAGGCAGCCTGTTTGTTGGATGGCTGGGCACAATTTGCTTGGCTTAAGGCTTAAACAGTCACAACGGGAATTTAACCATCGAGTATGTTGGAAAGGAATGCAGGCTCTGTATAAATGTCTACTCAGTCAATCCCAATCTCCTATACTATGTCAGAGAGGTATCCATCCAAAGGATGGTTCCAACCATTTGTATCCAATTGTTATGTATGGCAACCCCCCAACAAAAAATAGAACAGAAAAAAGTGAAAAAAACATACGAAAATAGTGAAACGATCACAAATTTCTATTTGTTTTGGGGGGGGCTACTATAGTAGGGAAGAATCACTTTTCTGTCTCTTGGTTCCTTTTTGGAGATTTCTTGACCACGACTTTCACACCCATGGCTCCCCGCGGCCATCGTGGTCACTGCCAGACCTTCCGCCTGCTTGGAGTGTGCCTCCCGTGGTCCATGGCGGGTGGATCGTCAGAGCACCATCTATCAGAACCATCAGACCATCAGCTTGCAGGTGCACCTAACAGCGGTATGCGCTGTGGTGAAAACCATGGAAAGCCTATGAAAGGTGGATGGAAAGGTATGAAACATCCTAACTTGTGATAGAAGTGATAGAAGTGATTATATAATTAATGTTATATAAAGAAACCAGATTATATAATGGTTCATTTATTTGGGCAATGCATGCAAACAACTCTTTATGTACGTTATTTTTGGCCATGGAATAACCAGTATACAGAAGCCACACCGTTTGCTACTCAAAACGCCGCCGAACATCCCAAGAATCTTTAGCAATGGGGTGGCCATTGGGTGTGCCCCATTGCTGGACACGGTCCACTTCAGGACATTTATTCGGCTCGATCATTATATATGTCATATTATGTATCATATATTTTTTCCAAGACAGTGTCCCAAATACATATTAATACCTGGTTTGTTGCTTGGAACATTTTTTTATTTTTTATTTTTCCATATATTTGTAATAATCATCCCAACTGACAACTGACTGATATTTTGCAGAGGGGTTGAAACCATCAACCAGATACAGTAATATACATTCAAATCCCATATTTTCATCCAAGCGCCGCTTTGCAGCCCTTTTTCCTTTGGACATTGTGCAGTTTTCGCATCGCCAAAAGGTAGCCCTGTGGAGTTTTTCGAGGCAAATCCCACGTTTTTTGCTGACCAATCGCCAGGAGAGTCCTAGCTCAGTGGACGCAGGAAAGATGCCACGCTCGCGCGAGGTGACCTGTGCTGGTTCGGCCACATGGAAAAACTCAATGGGAAATGAATTTCCAATGGATGATTTACACTATGTTTTGAATGGATTTTTTTCATATGGCAATCCAAATCTCAACCATGAACGGTGGATGTTCCATTGCCAGGTTTGATTACCGGAGGGAGCTATGGATTGAGTTTCCTAAGCCTGGCCGCACATGAGAATTTATAACTAAGAAAAACGGTTGTAGAATAGAGGTATACCCTCCGGTAAACTAACATAACTATGGAAAATCACCATTTTTAATGGGTAAATCCACTATAAATTACCATTTTCAATAGCTATGTTAGTCATTACCAGAGGGTAATTTTTGGCAGAATGGAGAGGATTTCCATGGGATATCATGAAGATATATCACGCTCCTGATGGAATCGTGGGAGTTGGACTGGGGTAACTCTCCCAAAATGGTCAATCTTTTCAGGCTGGTGAATTGTTCTAATTTATCCAGTTTCATATTTTTTAACTGCTCTGGGTCATTTTGGTCACTGAGGGTATGACCCCATGGTGTAGGTTTTGCAGTGTTTGAGGTTGTTATGTGACAAAATACATGATAACGCTTCAATCTTTGGAATGTGTTCCGTTTGTTTGGGTGAATTATAAAGATCGGAGAGTTAATAAATATTATATGGAGTTCTATAGGGCATCACAAACACCAAAGTCGGCCTTCAAGAACTCTGTGATGTAGGGCCTAATCCCACCCTGAGCATCTCAGACCACAGTCGTTTCGGGTTACGACTTGGGTACTGCTTTACTACGGCTGCGCCATGTGGCTCTGAAAGGATGAATTACACATGATTCAATGATTCTTTCCCCCCAAAAAAAAGGTAGAAACACGCAAATCCCGAACTTGAGAAGGCGGAGAGAGAAATCCCAGTATAATTAACCATAGATTACCCATAGATTAACCAGTATTGTTAATTAAACCATAGATTAATCCATAGTAATCCACCGGCGAAGAATGGCAGCCAGGCAGGTGACCGGGCCCAATAAAACCGGCAGGTTGTGCTGACCGGAGATTTGGTGGACACGGTGCGTCCCGGGGACGAGTTGAGACTTGACTTTCGAATGGGTTTGGCTCTGAGAGATCCTGGAGAATGTCAAGCCCGGATTAATACCATCTGGTAAACTAACATAACTATGGAAAATCACCATTTTTAATGGGAAAATCCTCTATAAATGGTGATTTTCAATAGATATGTTAAATTACCAGAGGGTAAACCATGGTTTATTAATTGGGGGGGGTACTCCTCCAATAGTATCCAATAGTCATTTCATCTAATACTTTTCTATGGTAGCCTCCCAATTCAACAGCCGTTTGGGGTTTATTAATCCAGGGTTGACGTTATACATGTATGATAGTGTGTGTGTGTATGTGTATAATCATGTCGACAGTTATACACATATAAATGACATTATATACAGTATACTATATATAGGCGATGGAGAGAGAGAGAGAGAGAAAATGTGTGTGTGTGCATATACAAATGCGCACAATTGTTTTTGTTTAGGTATGTATGTTTAGGTTATATGCGTAAAATACTTGAAAACTTATGTTCGAATATATTTAGTTTTCCTATCAGCATATAGTTTATTATTTCAATTTTTAACGGGTCATAGATTTGCGTGTGGGTGGATATTCGACCACATGCTCGAGGGAACTCATCGGCATCTACCGTTGCTTGCACGACACGGCCACCAACGCGCGGACATGTCCCTTGGTGGGCCGTTTTCACAGGGGCAGCAAAATGGTGATGGTGAATTCCCACGAAACAACGGTGAATTCATTGGTGATCATTTTCTATATGGCATTGTATTGGAGATATACAGTATATATATATGTATTAGGTATCTATATGTTTATTTCAACATGTTTGGGGTAGCCAATCCGGAGTCTATTTGATATATATATATATAGATATTGATTTTATTTATATGTGACCTTGTTAAAAACCTATATAGTGTTTCGATGTTCTTGGATGTTTTTTGGATGTTTTTGCTACACACCTCTCATATTTTTGGAGCGTTGTCAAAATCAAGTGGATCCAGAGTGACATCGTTTCTACGCTTGGTTCGAGCTTCCGAGCCATGCCAGCACCAGTTGTTGAGGAGACTCCAGGAGTGGCGAGCTGCTGGATTCACACACTAATGGTTCGAGGATTTACCCTCCAGCAGCTTAGAGTTGCGGGATTCGAACTTTCAGCGTTGCGAGCGTTTGGCTTCACTCCCAAACATTGAAGGAGTTGGGACGTGCCGGATTCGCAGCTGGGCTTCAGCCAGGGTTGGATTTAGAGCTCAGCAGTTGTGGAGCGCTGGCGTCACACCCGACCACCTTTTCTGGGCCACTTTACTGAGGAGTTTCGAGCGAAGGGATTCACACTTCAAGATCTGGTGGAGGGCGAACGGTTCAGCATTTGCAGGCGCCTAAACTGGCTTTTGCAGAATTGAGAGAGGCTGGCTTTGAAGCCCAGCAGCTCTTAGAGGGTGGATTTACATTTCATTTCAGGATTTTCAAGATGATGGCTGACAATTCAAGACCATGGCGGCCTGATCATTCCACAACTTCGTGAGGCTGGGATGGAACTGGTGCATTCTAGGCTGGCAGGGCTCAAATCCCTCTGCACCTATTCCAGGGTGGATTTACACTCCAGGAATCGCAGGAGTGACCCTTGAACAGCTGGTTCAAGAGGGGGTGACGATTGAGCAACTTCGAGAATCTGAACTTGAACTTTGGTAGTTGAGGGAGGCGGCTTCACACCCCAGGAACTGTGGGAGGGTGGAGTTACATTGGAGGAACTGCAAAGTGCTGGTTTCACCATTCAACAGCTGGTTGAAACCGGTTGCGATCTTGAGCAACTGCAGGAGGTTGGGTTTACACGGCTGTGGATGGAGGCCAAAGTCACCCCCCTATCGGACCACGGCAGGTTTTTTTCACTCAGCTGGTGTTTTGTGATTGGGATCTTGGATTGGTACAAGACTGTAGGGCTTACGACATGGGTGCAAATTGGAATCATATGGAATCATGATTTTTGATCCATGTTGTGCTGTATTCATGTGCAACATTGTGCAACTTCTTACCAGGGTTTCTGTACAGTAGTCAGTAGTTGGTTTTATCATAGGTTTATCCAACCTTAGGGGGTCAGGTGAGTAGCCGCCCTGGAAATTCCATTCCCTTTGCGTACAATGACCAGGGCAAGGATGACAGATTTGCTTTGGAGGACGCACCAGCAGGACCCCCAAATTATAGTTTGGATAATTCGGATTGGAAAAAATGGATTGAACATGGAAACCCCAGTGTTGGACAAAGCCCTGTATTTGGATATATTTGGATATTTGAGATTAGTGACAACGATTTCCACTAGAGTTGCCCCTCAATCAATGCAAAAAGTGCAGCCCTAGGCTTCCCGGTCTATCGCACTGACATCCAAGCAGTTCATATCAACCGAAAAGGTGATTTGAAGCTTGGAAGCACAGACATCAGCAGCCATCCATTGTCTGTGTTGCAGACTTCTGGACAAAGTAGAGCGAAGTTTATATGATAGTACAGACCAAAATGATGATGCATCTATGTTATGTGCTTTCACCATTTTGGAGTATACAGTATTTTCATATCGTGTGTGCACGCACGCTTGCATCTGTGATAAAGGTATAATGATGTATGGGTAAGCATCTCAATTTCAGCTCATTTCATTTCTATATGCAGTATAATGCTGGCAGGTTTCACACCTTGCCCAGGGAATTTTGTAACCGATGTAGTTAACCTGGAAGGAGCCCTGCACACAGCACCAGATGGATAGGGTTGGAGTTTCCATCGCATCATCTACACTCCGGTGTCATCAGAGGTGGCAATGCAAAGTGCACCATTTATAGCTGTTTTTTCCGCAAAGAGAAGCTCCATTTACAGGGGATGTTCGTTGATATTCCACTGCCATTCCTTGAAATAGCAAACAGATGTCATGGGTCATTCCAAGATCACACTAACTTATAGCTCAGCCATTAGTTACCAGCATTTACCAGCTAGTTGTGGCATGTTGTGGCATGAAATTTCATCAACCCCAGAGGCTTCATCTGGTGAGCTGGTCATTTTTTCGACCCTCAGGAAGTTGATCCAGATCAGTGACGATCAGCAAAAGAACATCCTGGATTTGGCCAAGAGCCCCTTGAAAGCAGCCGCATCTAGATGGGGATGGAGATTGCCACCATCCGGGACTGAACATCTGGCAATAGGGGAAACCACTTACCAAAATGGTTGCATCAAATCCCACGAAAAAGCATCGATTCCGGATGATATCCGTTCTTTCTATCACAAGAGAACTGTCAGAACTTGAAATTTACCGCTAAGGCCCGCAGATCCGTGAGAGGTTTATCTCCTCAATGGCTCCATCCATTTACGGCGGCTGGGAAGATTCCAGGGGAAGCACATGTTTTTTTTTCATTTTTTACCGAATGGATTGGTTGAAGGGAAAACCCACAGGAAACCATATTCTTTTTTTTGCAATGAAATATGGGGCTTTCCTGTAAAATTTGGCATAAACCAATCCATTGTTGTTTTTCCCTTTTTCAAATCTCCGGGGGATACGGAACACGAAATTATTGTTTAAATTTATGGGTAAGGTCCGTGATGATCACGAAAGATCCAGACAAAATCATGTATTTTGATCCGGACCGGTATACCCTCTGATAAACTAACACAACTATCAAAAATCGCTCAGGTATAGATGATTTAGGCGATGGAGAAAGAGAGAGAGAGAGAGATAGATTATTTACCTATTTAAACATGATGACTTCAATAGCTACTGTATGTGAGTTTACCAGAGGGTAGAACGCAAAATCTCTCTATATTATATCACTCCTCTTAAATCCTTTTAAGACGTCATATTCCAGTTTCAGGAACTTTCCAGTTATTGGGGGAAAAAAGTGTCATGCGGTGCCCCGGGACCGTGTCAGGCATGTGGCACGTGAAAACGGCCATTGCATTGAGCCTCTTGGCTGAACTTCTGGGCTTCCCCAGCCATGACATTTGGGGAAAAAATGCAGAAAAAACACGATTGAAACTACGTGAAACAATATGAGAGTACGGGGATAGATTTAAATTCGATGTTTCGGGTTGGACATGGAATCTGATGGGGCATAGCCTCATTCACAGTTGTGTGGTTTGAAAGTGCAGGCACTTGGGATGGAACCACTAATCAACTGGTTGGCCTAAAGAAATATTACAAACTACTTAGGACTTAGGAAACTTAGAGTGTGCATGCGTGATGATGTGTCGTTTTCATGCATAATAATCACTCCAACCGCATCCCCAAGTCGCATAGATGCCGACCTGTGAGGTATCATGGGCGGGCAGCCAAAGCAGGCGGCTGGAAAGCACCGCATCCGTGGCGACATCAACACGCTGATCGTAGGCGTGAACCGAGCCGATGTGGATGGAGCGATCCAGAGTTTCAGCTGGTGGCCGTTGTAAGTTACACTAGATTTCACATATTTTCAATATATATATATATATGATAATTTCGAAGAGATATAATATGATATTATAATACTAATATCATTTACATTCATTTACACATACTTACAGTATATGTTCACATATATTCAAATGATAAAGACATTTTTGTTTTAAAGAAGACACAAAAACGGTGCGGCCACAGCTCTTCCACAGGTGACCCGGGATTGGCCAAGTCGCAGTTCCTGAAATATGTGGAGCAGAGCCCCGCTTCAGACATGGTGACATGGGGAAATTTTATAAAACAAACGACACGTGTCGACCGAATCCTGGAATCATTTGGAATCATGGTTTATACCCTCTGGTTATGTCAAAATAGCTATTGAAAATGGCCATTTAGTTCGTGAGTTTTCCCATTAAAAATGGTGATTTTCCATAGTTACGTTAGTTTACCAGAGGGTAAATGTTTATAAGATATACATATATAAGGGGAATCATCCCAAAATGGCCGCAAGATTCAGGTTAGTGAACTATGATCATGTACCCAGATGGCTGGAGTGGGCTGCGGCTGCGGTTGCTGAGATTTTGATCCATTTCTTTTGGGGGATAGGATGGGTAAAAGTAATATATACTGTAAGTCACGTCTATAAAATACAATTATTGATGATGATGATGATGATGCTGATGCTGATGATGCTATATATTGTTCTGCTGAAATGGGACAGCACGTATCCAACATGATTGGGCTGTGCTGGCTGTCGACGGATGGTTCATATCAGATATCATAAGTGTTCATGTAAAATGTTCATATTTTACATCCCAACCATCCCAGTAGTTTTGTATAACACTTAAGGCATACATCAGATGAATATGGATGAATATGGGATTGAAACATGGGCATCGAATTTACCATTATTCATCCCATATTTCATGATGATATATATATATATATATTTATGAATAATGGATACTAATAATATATAATAATATGAATATGGATTTGCATCCACCATTTCAGCTACAGAATGGGCATCGTAACGATGCGCCATGCTGGGCTCATGCTACGCTGGGCTGGGCTCCATGAGGTGCTGACAGGGGTGGACAAAGCCCCAACGCCTTATCGTTTGGCCTAATGATTCAATCCTCATTTCATTATGTATTAACTTGTGTTATATAATATTATATATATAAGGGATAGTACTATTATATATATATACAGCCCATGTCGGATATTTAGTTAAGTTATGCTTATGCTATGATATGTTAATTGTTCAACAGGTAAAACTATGAATATATCACATTTGTTTTTTCTGCATACTTATATGTATATATACGTTTTGCGCGCACACCTTTTTTCGTAACTTCGCTGAGGACCTTTCCCCGCGCGGTCTACACCACCGGCAAGGGTGCCAGTGGTGTGGGTCTCACCGCTGCAGTGACCCGGGACGAGAACGGGCACTTCTGCCTGGAGGGTGGCGCCATGGCCCCTCGGAGCGAGAAATATGTCCCCAGTGTGGATGGCCAACAGCTAGGATACCCTCTGGTTATGTCAAAAGTAGCTATTGAAAATGGCCATAGAAATAGTGGATTTTCCCATGAAAAATGGTGATTTTCTATAGTTATGTTAGTTTATCAGAGGGTATATTAGGATGATTAGGATGTAAGATATGTAAGACCAACAGATTTAGAGATAGCCTCTGGCAATTTGTAGCTATGGAACAATGCATGAAAAATCATGAAAACATGCCTATTTAGTTGGATGATTTACGTACTAAACATCGGTAAAGCATTTGGTATTGTTTGTTGCTATGAAAAGAAACCAATTTACATAGTTCCATGACTTGCCGATTATGTCAATGGTGGTTTCCCATTGCTATTTTAGTTTACTGGAAGGCATAGCAACTACACCTGTACAATGATAAGTTTCTCGGTTATGTTAAATTCTTGGATGTTTAGTTTAATTATATATGTTCTATGATTGTTATCCTGCGTCGAATTAGTTTGTATTGGTAGGCTCTGCAAATCTCTACAACTTGTTTTAATGGGATGATAGATGTAGATAGTAGATGTTATCACAACTATAGATAGATGTTTATATAATTTTATATCTATTACTATTACTTGTTTGTTTGGTATTTGGTGCTGTGACATGTTGTGATTCGTCTCTTGTCTATGTTTGGCAAGCACTGCCATGGCTTTCCCTAAGGGCATGCTTCCAACTAGCCACAAAGGTCAATGAGAGCCACAGGGGGATTTCATGGGGAATTTAGCAAGGTAGATGATAGATATAGTGGGTCTCTATTTATATACATATATTATATATTATATATGGGAACATATAACCAATGATGATATTGGCTGGTTTCAAATGTGTGGTTCTATGGTTGTTTTCCACAGAAATTGGATGATCCCCAATGACTCACGTCTGACTAAGGGTTTATATATAAACCATCTACTTCGGGGTCTCGGGGGTCACATTCCCATGAATACATATGCATATTTATATACGTATATATATAAATATCATATATATATAATATTATATTATATCAACATATATCAACAGCCCCGGCAACGTTTGAGAAAGGTCTTGGCAGACGATGGTATTTGCCTCATTGATGAGTTCGACAAGATGTCTCCTGGCGGGACAGATGTGAGGGGTGAACAGAGACCATGACTGACATGCATCCTACACAGATGAACCAGGGTTATTACAAATACAGACAAATCCCAGTACAAGTACCACATCATTTGATCATCCGCCAGTTCCCATGACTAACATGCTCTATTGTAGAGTAACTTTCAGAGAAATGACGGTGACTTGTGCGATGTGTGTGGTCCCTACATCATTTCACCAAGGTTGACCCATTTTAGACGGGCAAGATCCAGCTGTGAAGCTATTGTAGCCATCATTGAATCAACATGATTAAGTTACATCAAATTGCCATTCAAGATGAAGACTTTTTGAAGATGTTCATGTGCGATTTCGATCCCAATATATCCCAAATATATTCTACATGTTTGTTAAAAAAAGGGTGTCTCAAAGTTGGCTTTCAAATCCAATAACTTGCACCTTACATAGTATCTATCTATATATATATATAGTATATATATATATCAACATGTAAGATTTTAACAATTATGCATTATATATATCTATATATATACAAAGACCTTTGAGGCTACCTTGCTATTCAGCTTCTCACTCCGATCGCCTCAGGAACGACCAGGATCGAACTTCACTGCACGAAGCCATGGAGCAGCAGTCCATCTCCATCTCCAAGGCTGGGATCGTGGCAACGTTGCAGGCGGGACCAAGCCTGGGACGGCGACATCGCGGCGTTGCGGGGGCGGCATGAAAGGTGGAACCAATAAGTGACATCGACATATCGTAGGATTTTTTCGGATGTCATGAAATGTCCAGGACATGTGTTACAGATATACTGTTACAGCTATAGCAAATTTACATAAATTTACATCAGGTATTTTTGGATTATCTCGGCATATTCCATATTTACACATATTACACTTAATCTATCTAGATCTACACCCACAATGATCATAAATGTAACAAACATCATGGAAACCCTACCATTTGCAGATGATTTACTGATTGAAGACCCTGGCCGAAACCTTGCCTTTTTAGGCTCGCTGCGCCGTGGTAGCTGTGGCGAATCCCATTGAGGGACGATATGATCAACAGAGGAGCCGTTCCCGTGGCAACCGGAAACATGATCAAATTGGCTCAATGTTTACATATAGATGTGGGAAACTATGGAAAACCCGTGAAAACCCATGTTTTTTTTCAAGGAAAACTATCTACAACATTCTACAACTATTAAATTTTCCACGGTATATCATGGATAAATTATCACGACCTCACGCTGGAATGAGGCCTGGAATGAGTTAACATGAGTTAACTATCCCAGGCTGGTGAACTACTTTTTTTTTCGGCCCCAAAACGGAATGCTCAATCCATGCATTTACCCTCCAGCAATCAAACATGGTTTGCCGGAAAATCACCATTTAGTTCAACAATTGAGAAAACAACTCAAATTGCTGTGGAAGGGATTTCCCAGGTCATGTTTGATTACCGGATGGTACCGTAACTAAATGTAGAGGGGGATTCTGGCGGAAAGCAATGGCTACCGAGCATTTGAACATTCCGATTCCAGGGGTTGGGATATGAGTAGGTGCTGACCAAGAAATCCCAATTCTAATCAGAAACCTATCCCAAATCATCCAAAATCAATGATTTCTGATTTTCTGACCCTATTATACATCTAAACGTTTACCATTTATAGATGGTTTACCTATTAAAAATGGTGATTTTCCATGGCAAACTGTTAAATAACCAGAGTGTATCCACCGAAGATCTCAAGGTCCCATTGAAATCATTGAAACCTCCGTTGTTTCAAAAAAAACGGCCAGGACCTTCTCGCAGAACGTGAATTTGTCGGATCCCATTCTGAGTCGCTTTGACCTGATGTGCGTCTTGCGAGACGAGGCGGATCCACTTCAGGAGAGGGAACTCATGGCGCATCCGATTTCATCACCTGAAATCGGGGATGCTTGGAACGTCACCCAATAAAGCATAAAGCTTTCACAAAAGAAACTATGGTTCTAAGTTCCAATCTCCAAGATATCCCAAGATATCCAAAGATTTGGGATGTTTTGGGATGGATAGGGCAAAGTTAAGCCCAAAGATGGCATGCGCATGCGTCACGATGATTTGAGACAATCAGCCCATGATTGCCCCACCCTTGGTGGCTAAATGTGCCACCAACGATTGCTATCATGCACTATCTCCACTCATCACTCAGCCCATCTCAGCCCTATGATTTTGGGTTACACATGAAAAATTCCTACCCTTTCTGCCAGCCCCTGGTGTTTTTCCCCCCGCCAGGACGAGATGTTGGCCAGCCACGTGGTGTGCAGCCACATCCGGAGCCATCCGGACGCCAATCCGGAAGAGAAGACCAAGAAGCCCAAAACCAACAAAACCTCGCACTTGAACCCCATCAGCCACTGGGAAGAAAACATGCCCAACCAACTGGACGGGAAGAAACGAAGATCCTTGAGTTTGTTGCTGAAGATGGAACCACAAAAAAAAAAAACAACCAGCAACCTATTAGTTTTTGGTGGACTATCAAAGACCAACCATGAAAACTGGAAGATTTCACTTGGGAACGTTATTGCACTGTGTTTATCATTGATCGAAAGTTTCCATGTTTTTTTTGGCGGGGAACGTTGGGGTTATCACCAGCGTTGGAGGAATTGTTCATTGTCAGCTTAGATTCTAGCAACCCCGAGTTAATATGGAAAATAAATGAAAATAACACAATGCTTCCACAAGTTTGTGGTAAGTTGAGCCCTTTCCACCTTTTGAGGATTACAATATTAGATTGTAGCATGTGGATCCATGTGGCATGTACAACTGCTGGTCAAGACCCAGGGGATTTCTCCGTTTTTGCCTCCTGCTTTCAGGTTATCAGCCTGAAATTATTGATGTGTTTGACGGCAAAAATATGCCTGGAGAAAGACATGAACAACTACAATATGAATCACATGGATGTCCTTTTCCCATTGGTTGACTGATTATGTAGTAGAGCGGTCTCCCATATAATCAGTAGGTCCCTTAAGGTAAACAATAAGCAATAGTATACTAAATCGCCCCCTATATCCCCCTATATTTTTTCCAATATATCCAGGTGATGACCATCCATTCCACCAGGTCGGGAGACAACTGGATTTTCTCCATGTGTTTTTTCCATAACGGGATCCATACTTGGAATATCTTCTATCTTTCAGGAACTGATGGAACTGAGGATTTAAGTGTTTGCTTTGCGGTTGAGTGAGCATGGACCCTGGTAAATTCAATGCACTGCAACATAGTGCAACTGCAAGGGAACATTTACAGGAACGCCCTATATTTCATGGGAAAACCCATGATTTTCCTTTCAATCGACCTATATCCACCAGGTCAAGACATGTTGAAGAAGTACATCGTCTACGCACGGCAGCGGGTCTTCCCCAAGATGACCGACGTGGACTCGGAGAAGCTTGCGTCCTTCTACTCCGACGCTTGGACGATGAATCGGGGCACCCTTTTCGGTGGTTGGCGGTCTGAAAATGGGTGATTAAACCACACATGAACTGACAATTGTTGTATGGAGAAGATCATCATTAGCCCATGAAATTTTCGGATAGCCTATGTTCAGACAAGCGCACATGACTTAATTACACCTAATCGCAGTTTTTTCGTAAGTCAAATGGTGGTTTAACCAATACCTGCAACAAGAACTGGGGGTGAATCACTAAATTTGTCCCAACAAAATGGTGGAGTTTTATCAGCAGCATTCAACCAGGGGTTGATGATTAATAAGGCCTTCATCGGCCGGGAGGGGACCCAGAGGTGACCCCCCTAGATTTCCACGAAAAATGGGGATGTATCACTGTGTCAATGGATTGCTGGTTGGTGGTTTGGAACATTTTTATACATTTTTTATTTTTCCACATGTTGGGAATAAATAACCCCAACTGACTCATATTTTTGAAAGGGGCTGAAACCACCAACCAGATTGGTTTAAGGAAAAATCTATAGGAAACCATGCATGTTCGCATGAAATATGAGGGAGGGTCCGAGGGTCCTGCAATTGTTCCTTAAACCACGCCATGGAAGATGATGATTCAATCTTGACCCATGTTAACTTAATAAATGAATAGAGCCTAAAAACCACCAACAGCAAGAGGTAGTGCATATATATATATATATTTATGAGCCTGATTTGTGCACACCAAAGTAACATCGCAGAAATCAAAACCAGATTCAGATAGTGAACGCTTGAGTGCACTATATATCCTTCATATCATGTTGGGTTCGCCAGCCATTTGGGCTGTGTAAAATGAGTGGTTGGTTGATTCAGAGATTATTTAGTCGATTGATTAGTTGTTTGGTTGACTGGTTGGAGGGTTGACTGATATTGACTGATCGGTGGACGGACTAGCTGCCTAGCTTGTTCATGGTTTGATGGGCTGATTGGTTCATTGATTGGTTCATTGATTGGTTCTTTGATGATTGGTACCTATGGGTTTGGTACCTACAGACTCACGGTGCAGTCCAACCTGATTCCGGTGACAGGAACTGCGAGCAGAAGCCTTCCGCACAGGTGCGCGAAAAGGTGATTGGATGATGGCTCTCAAACTGCACTGGGAATCCAAACTAATCAGAAGATATCCAAACCAGAAACTGGCACATTTGACATTGCTTTGACATACCTTCGACATTAACTACATACTACAAGGTGGGTTAGTGGGTTAGTCTATTCTTGGACCATCCATTTATTGGTCAAAGTTTGGACCCTCAGCAGGTCCTGCATGGGTCAACCGACCTGTCAGCGCCCTGGCATTCGCAGGGGGAGCTCCAATGACGGCGCGGCACATGGACAGCTTGATTCGTTTGGCCGAAGCCAACGCCAGGATTGAGTTGAGACACCACGTGACGTGGTTGGCACATGGACGTCGCGACGTACTCCATGGAAAAAAGCCCTAGATCTTTGGAAGACATTCATGTTCATACATGTTATCAAATTGACCACTTGCAGTAATTGAGCATTTTTTCAGCATTTTAAAGCCAACATTTGAGACGGTTTTCCATGATGGTCATGGTGGATGAAGTGGTTCACAGGAGGTCAGCTTAGATAGTGAATTCTTATGGCAAGGTCACTGTTTTGCGGTGGCTGGGAGCAAGTTCCATTCCTCAAATCCACAGATGGCTGGATCATTTTCACAAGATTAAGATATCCAATATTATCCAATTGAATTGAAATCGAAGTTTCGAAGTGTGTCCAATTGTTGTATGATCCTGATTTGGATCCGCATGTTTATATTCCTATATATATATATATTCATTCTATTATACTGTATGTTGATATACGTTGATATAGCTCTATACTATACACATTCCCTATCTGTACATACATGTATAATAAATACATACATACACATAGGTACACATACATATATATGTATGTGTACATAGACACACATATATATATATATATATATGCATGTGCCCATATTGGCCCACGTATTCGAGGTGAACAGCCGGGACATTGACAATGCCATCGCAGTGATGTTGGAATCCTTCATCCAGAGTCAGAAGCATCAGGTCCCGCGGCTCTTGGGGGCGATTGCCCTCTATTGAAAATGGTGATTTATAGTGGATTTACTTATTGAAAATGGTGATTTGTAGTGGATTTACCCATTAAACATGGTGATTTTCCATAGTTATGTAAACGTTTACCAGAGGGTATAAGGCAACAAGGGGGCTTCTTAATCATCCAATATCGGGTGGTCGGCTTTGGGTGATTGGATTGTCGTGAATGGGTATCGGGTTCGGTACCTTATTTTCAGAGCCCAAAGAGTGGGGTTAACAATTTGTTCTCATAGGCCCCAAAAGGGACATACATACAATATTCATCGATATTCATTAAATCCGAAACGAAACCCCGTTGTTTAGTACCGGATCTCTGTTTAGTTGTTGGGCCCATGTTGGAGGGCTTGGGGTTACACGATGTTCTAATAGATGACTGATTTTACGATGATCATCAGTGTGATGATTGTGATCCATAGACGGATATGCGTGCCCAGAAACTTCCAATGGATCAAAGCAACGCAAGACCCTGAGAATCCTGAGATGAGATTTGGAGAACCACATGAAGTCATGATTTGATTAAGTATGAGTAAGTATGCCATTTGGAATTCCAGAAAACTTTGAGGCAAGTTCGAGATGACTGCCGCATAAATTGATTGGATCGTGTGTCATGTCTTTCGTTGTTGATACCCTCTGGTGAACTAACATAGCAATGGAAAATCACCATTTTTAATGGGTAAATCCACTATAAATGGCCATTTTCAATAGCTATGTTAGTTTACCAGAGGGTATGTCAATGTGTTTTTCCCCACATTGACGTGTGGGGTTTTTGTTTTTAGTTCTGTATCCGCTCCTCTTCCTCCTCCTCCCGCCGCCTCGCCTCCCGCCTCACTCACTCACTCACTCATCACTCATCACTCACTCACTCACTCACTCACTCACTCACTCACTCACTCACATCACTCACTCACTCACTCACTCACATCACTCACTCACTCACTCACTCACATACTCACTCACTCACTCACTCACTCACTCACTCACTCACTCACTCACTCACTCACTCACCTCCTCACTCACCTCATCTCATCTCATCTCATCTCATCTCATCTCACACTCACTCACTCACTCACTCACTCACTCACTCACTGCCAAGGGGTCGGATGTACGCCCTGGCGTCCCTCCGGTGTCCCTTGGTCTCCGCCGCTTTTGCGTGGCAGGCGTGGGACAATGTGCACTGCCAAGGGGTCGGATGTACGCCCTGGCGTCCCTCCGGTGTCCCTTGGTCTCCGCCGCTTTTGCGTGGCAGGCGTGGGACAATGTGCACTGCCAAGGGGTCGGATGTTCGCCCTGGCGTCCCTCCGGTGTCCCTTGGTCTCCGCCGCTTTTGCGTGGCAGGCGTGGGACAATGTGCACTGCCAAGGGGTCGGATGTACGCCCTGGCTTGGTCTCCGCCGCTTTTGCGTGGCAGGCGTGGGACAATGTGCACTGCCAAGGGGTCGGATGTACGCCCTGGCGTCCCTCCGGTGTCCCTCCGGTGTCCCTTGGTCTCCGCCGCTTTTGCGTGGCAGGCGTGGGACAATGTGCACTGCCAAGGGGTCGGATGTACGCCCTGGCTTGGTCTCCGCCGCTTTTGCGTGGCAGGCGTGGGACAATGTGCACTGCCAAGGGGTCGGATGTACGCCCTGGCCTCCGGTGTCCCTCCGGTGTCCCTTGGTCTCACTGCCAAGGGGTCGGATGTACGCCCTGGCTTGGTCTCCGCCGCTTTTGCGTGGCAGGCGTGGGACAATGTGCACTGCCAAGGGTCGGATGTACGCCCTGGCGTCCCTCCGGTGTCCCTTGGTCTCCGCCGCTTTTGCGTGGCAGGCGTGGGACAATGTGCACTGCCAAGGGGTCGGATGTACGCCCTGGTGTCCCTCCGGTGTCCCTTGGTCTCCGCCGCTTTTGCGTGGCAGGCGTGGGACAATGTGCACTGCCAAGGGGTCGGATGTACGCCCTGGCGTCCCTCCGGTGTCCCTCCGGTGTCCCTTGGTCTCCGCCTCTTTTGCGTGGCAGGCGTGGGACAAAGTGCACTGCCAAAGGGGTCGGATGTACGCCCTGGCGTCCCTCCGGTGTCCCTCCGGTGTCCCTTGGTCTCCGCCGCTTTTGCGTGGCAGGCGTGGGACAATGTGCACTGCCAAGGGGTCGGATGCACGCCCTGGCGTCCCTCCGGTGTCCCTTGGTCTCCGCCGCTTTTGCGTGGCACTCACTCACTCCACTCACTCACTCCCTCACTCACTCACTCACTCACTCACTCCACTCACTCACTCACTCACTCCCTCACTCACTCACTCACTCACTCCCTCACTCACTCACTCACTCACTTCACTCACTCACTCACTCACTCGCTCCCTCGCTCCCTCGCTCCCTCGCTCCCTCGCTCCCTCGCTCCCTCGCTCCCTCGCTCACCCACTCACTCACTTCACTTCACTTCACTTCACTTCACTTCACTTCACTTCACTTCACTTCACTTCACTCACTTCACTCACTCTCACATCCCTCACTCACACACACCACACTGGCATCACTCACTCACACTCTCACTCACTCACTGTACATGAACATACATACATACACACAAACTCACTCACCATCACCGCTCCATCACTCTTATACTTCCTCTTCCCTTCTTGCTCTTCTATGGTCAGTCTAAGTCTAAAGAAGTTGGTAACATGTGGGGTTATCCGGTCCTTTAATTTTATTGTTGTTTTCTTTGGCCCATGGGACCACGGATTGCGGAACTTCAAGACTAGCCCCGTGGAATCCATCATTGTTGGGTGACTTTGATATGTTTTTAGCCTCTGGTTATGTCAAAATAGCTATTGAAATGGCCATAGACATAGTTACTATAGTTGATTTTCCCATTGAAAATGGTGATTTTCCATAGCTATATATGTTAGTTTACCAGAGGGTAAATGGCTGTCCATGGTCATTTCATGTCCTTTCCACCAGTGTCATGGTTTTCCCAGGGGGGTTGAACCATGGCTTTCAGGTGGCAGAAGAGTTGCGCAAGAAGTTCCGCAGGTACTTGGCCCAGGGTCCATTGGCCGACCAGCCGCTTGCCTGGAAACGGAAGGCTTCATGGCGTTTCATGATGGGGTTTCACTATAGGGTTTAATGTTATGTTTAGTATTGTTTAGTATTATATAATATGTATTAATTGCGTTTTGTTTTTAAATATTTAGGGTTTACTAATATGTTGTTTGCTATATAGTTGGCTTATGTTGGCTTTCATGGGGGGTGAAGCCGGTTTACCATCGGCTTCAATATAGTTTCACGATGTTTAATATGGTTTACGATTAGGGCTAACATTGAATGTAGGCTCTACAATATGGTGGCGCAAAAGATTTCCCAAGGTTCATGGCTATTCTGGACCACCTCTTCAAGGAAGCAAGCATCAAGGTGCAGGGTCAGTCCTTGTGATTTGGGTCATATGCAAAAACAATTATATATCGGTATGATAAATCTATATACGACATTACAAGACCATTCAATTATATAAAATGATATGATATGATATGCACATTTGTTGGGTTGATCTCGGTTGATGTTGCAACTTGGAACAGTTGGGAGGTATTTATTTTTGCCGTGATCATCCCCAAAGTGGCCAAAGTGTCGCAAGAATTGCCCTCCAGTTAACAGATAGATATGGTTAATCAACGAATCAACGATATTTGTTCCTATCTTGAAAATAACTACGAACATGATATTTCAATATTTATAGATATGGCGTTTTAATAGATAGTATTACAGTATATTAAAAATCATCCATGTTTATGGATGGCCATGTATTTCCCAACAAAAACCATGGATTTTCGGTAGATATTTTTCCCATACGTGTTTAGAGAGTCGGGTTACTTTGCCCAGATCCTGGCTGCATCGTCGTTATCGCGGCGTCCGCGAAATTGGGTTATCTCATCAAAGATTACCCTCTGGTAAACTAACATAGCCATGGAAAATCACAATTTTTAATGGGAAAATCCACTATAAATGGTGATGTTCAATAGCTATGTTACTTTACCAGAGGGTATTTCCCCTCCGAAATTGGAAAGTGCCAAACGTGTCTACGCGGTTCTACGTCGTGAAACTCTGTGAACAAACAAAAGAGTCAATTTTGAGTGCAATCTTTCCCTAAACCGTCCCAAATACTTATAAATTATATGAATCAAGTATGTCAAGTGAAGTCCCATAAATTCCCCGGATATTTCCCAGACATGTCCATTTACCCCCCTATAAGCTACCATAGATGTGGAAACCTATATGGTTTCCCTAGAGAGGGGAAAAAAACATCTACACGTGGTGTTTTTTCCACATTTATTTGAGTTACAGGAGTGCAAATCCCTCAGAAATGTCCCTCTTGGCTCGTTTGAGCCAGGCTCAATTGGCCTCGAAGGATGTGGAACTTGAAGAAATCCCAGCAGCTTGGTGAAGCAGTTGGGGCATGAAACATATCTTGACCCAGAGGAAAGCGGTGATTTTACTAGATTTTGATGATGGGAACATATGGGAACAATGGTGATTTTATTTGGTTTTGATGAGACAAAATTGCGGTTTCATGGATTTAAATGTTGACTTAATGATGATTTCATGGGGTAAGCAAATATTTTAAAGAGATACAATATGGGCCCAATACTGGATCCAAGTTAGGGCAGTTAGGGAATATTTGATCTAATCTTCCAGCCCCCAACTCCTGGTACAGTTTTCGTTAACTTATTTGAGGGTACATGTTGTTTTTTTTCTCCTCCCTTTACTAGTTAAACTGACTATGAACTAAAGATTTATATCCGGAGTTTGGGGTTCAACATGGACCCAGATATAATATACCAGTGGAAAACATTCTTTTTTTGTGCGAAAATGATATAGATGGTGGATTGTCCAGATCTACATGTAAGGGACAATCAAACAATAAATTGCAATAATTTGGATTTCAATGCCAAAAAAGTATCTATCTCGGATGCTAGTTCGATGATGTTTTCCCCACAAGTTTCAGGTGTCCAACATGTCCATCTTTCTTGGTGGTTTCTATGGAACATTTCAGCTGAAAGATCCCCAGGTCGAGATGACGGAAGTGATCCGCGAGATCGAGCAGGCTGAGCTGATGCTTGGCGCAGTCACCATGTGTATATCAATCCCCCTAAAATCGCCATCTTCACCGTGGTTTCTGGGGTGTGTTTCATATATTGGAGGTGTGGCTTTCAATCCACTTCAAGAAACGGTGGGTCCCAGAAAGACGTGGGTTATTTGGGCCCCCAATGGCTCCCAGGAAGATGCAAGATGCCACCGCCTTCATGCAGAGTTCACGATTCCTCCAGTACTTCCGAGTGGAAGGTTTCTTGGCAGAGCTGGGCGTTCGAACAAAGGCCCAGGGAGAACAAAATCACTGTGAAAATTGGAGTGGTAAAAATAGGACAAAACTATCAGTTTTTTTTTTTAATGAAGGATTTCCTGCAGATGTTCCCCAAAGTTGTGCAGCATTTGTCTCCTTGGCTTGGCTGTCTCGCAAAATTGAGGTAGCCTTGCTATTGGTTTTCCTTCAAAGTGACCAATTTGGATGATTTTGCAACCCCCGTTTGTTTGATGATATTTGGTAGCTTCTGAACCCTGCCAGCATGATTCCCTCATTGGCCTTGTGAACGTGGTTTTAAACAGTTGGCCTGATACCATTCTGCTAGACTGCCAGATCTCATCAAGATTGAATCAATGTGGATCAAATGGAATGCAGGTCATCTAGTTGTTTAGCGTTCATGAGGGATGCTTTCATCATCTTTCATCAGCAGTTTTTAGGCACCAAAGCCTACACGCATTCTTGTTCGCCATCGGCCATCGTCCCGTTTGCTACGCTTCGTGACATTGATCAGCCCTTCCTTCCCCAACTTGGTTTCTCCAACCGTGTGGACTTGTGAGTAACGGGTAACAGTAGCCAAACGGGCCTGATCGTGAGTAATTTATGACCCTATACCATGCGTGCGGCGCGCGGCTCATGGGCCGAGGTGAGAAACTTTACCGGGTGATGTGAGGCCATTCTGTTCCTTTCCTGTTCTGTGGGCTGGAACCCATGGAAGCCCCTTGGTAGTCAATGTCAGTGGCACCCTGTGCAGCTGACGCTGTTTTATTCTGGGATCCCTTTGCGCCACTCTGGTGTTTCAGGCTTACCAGGCAGGGCGCCATGTTTTTTGACATTCATTGATTGTTTTTGGTGCCTGGAAGTTTGTTGGAGAGCCTGGACTTGGGTGAGTGGCAGCTTATATAGCGCTAAATCTAGTTTCCATATGGTGGTGCTTCCAGTGTGCCGATCGCTGGCAGCAGCCAGGGACTGACAAACTCCGAGATTTGATGAGATGTTGATGTCGAAAACGGAGAAAACCATCGAAAGGCACGCTGAATCGCCAGAAGACATTTGTTTTTTCAGATTTTTTTTGGGGGAAGCAACAGCAACAACAGATACTGGGGCCCTGGTATCATTGGGATTTGGGCCACATCGGTGGCCTCTGCCAAGATCAGAGATCTTGAGAGATCCAGATGGGCGTCCGGAGCGATGCACGGAAGCATCACCCGTTTTGTCGCAAACATCTCCAGCGTGACCCGTCAGCCGGGAGCGATGCACGGCATGCGGAGGTGACACCTTGCCTGGCGGAAAAAGGTGGCGTAGAACGTGGGTTTCCCAGAATTGGTTCGTGTGAACATTCCATGTAGATTTCCCCTTTGAACCAATGATGTTCGGGTAGCCAGGGTCCTGCCCTATGACACTGACTTTCCAAAGAATATCGAAGATGAAGACATGATGTAAGCGTGGCTGATTGGCTTACTGTGCTTTGTTGTGTTTCATGTGGCGTTACTCGTGCCACTGTGTCGTGTTGAGAGTTTCCAGAAATTAGAGAAAGCCCGCGATGATCAGTCTTCGGGTTCCACGTTTATCACATAGCTGCAAACGGGCCATTAGAGTATTTCCACTGTCCCACCAAAGCCATAATTTCTGGCTGCATCCTTCGATTCCCTCCCCCAACTCCCCAAGAACACAAAGCCTCATCGTCGGGGTCCCCCAAGAAAAATACCGTAATCGCATTCTTGTTTGCCCAAAAACAGATTCTCCGCGTTAAACACTTTAGGGGGTTCAAAAAATTCAGGAGCCCGAAAACCATAGGCGTCAGTACTTTCAAAAGATGGTCTACTTTTTCATGATTTTGAATGATTTGGGGGTACACTCATGACTGAACTAAGAAACCCACCATTTCTTCATTCTTGGGTTCCCGAAAAATGGGAGGAACATTTTCATTTGGCCAGGCTAAGCGCCTGCTGCCATTTCCGGAGGTGGAACGCTGCTTGGCTTCACTTCCCCCAACTTACGAAAAAGAATTGGGCTAGAGTAAACTTGTTGGCGATGCAATCAACACCGGGGAAGACAATGCCGGGCGGAGAAAAAAAGCAGGATCTAAGACTGGCAATGGCTGTGTGTGTTTGATATCATGAGGCTGACCTCAAAATGTGAGGTACATCAATGGGCGGCCCCTTATGCTTAGCGGCTAAGGCTTCCACCATTGATCCCGGTTTCCTGGGACTACTCATGGAAAATTATCATGCCGAGGAAGTTTTTGAGTACCTTGCATTTGGGTTTGAAAATAGATTGGCACCCAAAACTTGATGGTGATCAGATATGTATTCAGACTAATCAATACTAATCATATATTCCCTAATTATCAACGTTGCTACTTTAAGGATCTTTAAGGGCTATTCCGGTATACCCCATGTTCAGACACATCCTGCCACTGAGATCTCCCGGAATTGGCTCGTGCTTTGACCTTCGTGCGCCGGTGAAGCCAGTCGGAGGAAGCTGTTCGAAAAATCGGACACAAACGGTGAAGCTGTTTGTTTGGCATTATTGCAATATATCATATATATATACATGTATGTTAGAGAGACCTTTCTGTACTATTTGACGGCTGAAGATTCCTTCTGAATTTCCTTTAAGTTAGAGCTCTAAGTTTTAATAAATAAAATAAATATTTATTTTATTTATTTTATTTATTTTCTCAGGAGCTCTAAATTTTAATAAATAAAATAAATAAAATAAATATTTATTTTGTTTATTTTATTTATTTTCTCAGGAGCTCTAAATTTTAATAAATAAAATAAATAAAATAAATATTTATTTTCACAGCGAAATCTTCTCCACGCAGACTTCCAAAATAAAATAAATAAAATAAATAAAATAAATATTTATTTTATTTATTTTATTTATTTTCTCAGGAGCTCCAAATTTTAATAAATAAAATAAATAAAATAAATATTTATTTTATTTATTTTATTTATTTTCTCCGGAGCTCAAAATTTTAATAAATACAAAAAATAAAATAAAAATTTATTTTGTTTATTTT